CAGAGCCTCTCAGCCTCGATTTCCCACACACGTCTCGTGCATGCCTACCCTGTCATTTCCCTGGCCTCCTGCACCTTGTGAGGTCACAACTCAGGTGGCAGGTAGGCAGGGATGGCAGGACCTCACTGTGAATATTCAGTGAATCACAGTATTATTTGTAACTAGGTAAGAATGAAACTACTTTACTGGCCTGATCATCACGAATAAGAACTATGCTATATTTTTGACCATGCACTACGGCCTTATGCCCACGTAGATAGCATATGTCATACTTCTTTTCTTTTTCTTCGATGTTTATTTATTTTTGGGAGAGAGAGCACAGGCACGAGCAGGGGAGGGCCAGGGAGAGAGGGAGACACAGACTCCGAAGCAGGCTCCAGGCTCTGAGCTGTCGGCACAGAGCCCGATGTGGGGATCGAACTCATGGACCGTGAGATAGTGACCTGAGCCAAAGTCGGACGCTCAACCGATGAAGCTCCCCAGGCGCCCCAGCATACGTCATACTTCTAATAATTTTCTTATTATGAGCAACTCTGTGTTGCACTGGCTGAAAACCCACCTGTCATCTCTGACCCCACATCTTCCTCCCCTCCGTATCAGTCTGGAGTTTATTCACTCCAAGGGACCGTAAATCCAGCTCGAACTGGCTTAAAGATAAAGGGTATTTAGGGGTGCCTGGGGGGCTCAGTCAGTTAAGTGTCTGACTTCTGCTCAGGTCATGATCTCACGGCTCGTGAGTTCGAGCCCCACGTCGGGCTCTGTGCTGACAGCTCGGAGCCTGGAGCCTGCTTTGCATTCTGTGTCTCCCTCTCTCTCTGCCCCTCCCCTGCTCGTGCTCTGTCTCTCTGTCTCTCAAAAATGAATAAATGTTAAAAAAAATAAAAAACCCAAAGATAAAGGGTATTTATTGGCCCATACAATGTTATGGCCTAACTGTATCTACCCAAATTCAGATGTTGAATTCTGACTGTATTTGGAGAAAGGGCCTGTGAGAAGATAAACATTAAATGAGGTTGCAAGAGTGGGGTCCTGAGGGGATAGGACTGATGCCCTTACAAGAAAAGGAATAGATATCAGAGTGCTGTCTCTGCCAAGTGAGGACACAGTGAGAAGCCAGGAAAAGGACTCTTAACTAAGAACCAAACGGGTTGACCCCTTGCTCTTGGACCGCCCAGACTCCAGAAGATAAATTTCTATCGTTTAAGCTACGCAGTCTGTGGTGTTTTGTTATGCCAGCCAGAACTGCCCTATGACACTTCACACAGGTGCTCATGCAGGCTTCAGGTCCAGCTTGATCTAGGCGCACGCAAGCATCGCTGGGATCCGGTTTTCCTATCTTGTCCCTCAGCTCTGCTCTTCTGTGCACTGGCTTTCCTCTCCGATGGGCTGTCCCCTTCTAGTGACAGAATAGTTGTGGCAGCTCTGGGTGCATCCTCCCAGAGGTCATTCCCACTGGGAGAGGGAGCCTGAGTGTCTGTGTTTCTCTCGCACCATGGTCACGTCCTGTGAACGTGGCTGACCCGTCCCTCTGACAGGGCAGGCCTGTTTTGCCTTCCCTTCCCCAGATGCAAACCCGATGGCGTCGGGTCTCTACTTGAGACCTCGTGTGGCTCCCCAGCGCCCAGGAGTAAAAGCCCAGCCCCTCATGGGACCTCCTGGCAGCACCTTCTCCCTCGCTCTTTGAGTCCTGCGCCTCTGGCGCCCTCCAGCTCTTGCAGTGGGTGGCACAGCCTCTACTGGGGGGGGGGGGTTGCTCTGCCCCTTCCGCCTGGGGGCCCTCGCCCTCCGCTCCCCTCCTTAATGCCAACTCATCGTTTGGGTATCTTCCGAAGTGGCGCCCCCTTTCGGGAGGCACTGCATGTGCAATTTGACTGACACCTAATCCCGCCTCTGTTCCCCTCGCCCCTAGGAAGAGGGAAGGAGAGGAAAAAGGAATTTCTATCCCGAAAATTGCAAGCCCCGGGGTGACCTTTGGTCCCTGCGATCTCCTCCTGCCATGGGCTGTGCTGAGGGTCCTTGTAGAACACGGGTTGTTCATACAGCCTGGAGCCTAAACCCAAGACAAGGACTTCACCTGTTGCCCAACCAAAGAGGCAGAGGCTGGCTTCCCTGCTGGGGTGGGGGGTGGGGAGGTGAGGGAGTGAGGAGGTGGGGGGAGTGGGGGGGGTGGCGGGGAGCCCGCAAGGAGACTGCAGGCTGGTCTCCAGTCCGGTAGCTTCCGAAGGACATGTGTTCAAACCCACATTTTCCCTTTGCCCATAGAATACTTAGTATAAATAAAGCGAGAAGGGAAACCCTGCGGAAGTTGTCAAGCAACAACGGTGTGGTGCTTTTTCTCCATCGTGATTTTCCCTTCCTTCTCCTGGAAGGGAAATCCTTGTTCTGGAAGGGATGTTTGTGACTTCCGTGCTTTAAACTATTCCTTCCAGGGGCGCCTGGGTGGCCCAATCGGTTGAGCGTCCGACTTCAGCTCAGGTCATGGTCTCAGGGTTCTTGGGTTCGAGCCCCGCGTCGGGCTCTGTGCTGACAGCTCGGAGGCTGGAACCTGCTTCAGATTCTGTGCCTCCCTCTCTCTGCCCTTCCCCCCACTCATGCCCTGTCTTTGAAAAACAAAGAAACGTTAAAAAAAATACTCCTTCCTCACATGTGGGTGTTATGTTTACTTAAGCAATATATGGTTTGGTTTTGCTTGTTTTTGAGATTAAAGATATGGTGTTATTAACTTAGGAAGCTTTTTTTCACTCCACATTGTGGTGTTTTGTTTTGTTTAGACTTGAACTGTTTTTACTCACATTTTTTTTTTCAACGTTTATTTATTTTTGGGACAGAGAGAGACAGAGCATGAACGGGGGAGGGGCAGAGAGAGAGGGAGACACAGAATCGGAAACAGGCTCCAGGCTCCGAGCTGTCAGCCCAGAGCCCGACGCGGGGCTCGAACTCACGGACCGCGAGATCGTGACCTGGCTGAAGTCGGACGCTTAACCGACTGCGCCACCCAGGCGCCCCTTTACTCACATTTTTGACACCAAATGTGTGTGTTTTTTCCCCCCCCCCCCCCAATTCTCCACCTGCCTCTAATTCAGTTTGATTCTGACACGGTCTACCTGGAGCTAGCACAGACCCCACAGGTTAAGGGCTCAGTCCCCCAGGCTGCCCCCACCTGACACCCCGGACCCACGTCCCAGGGGGTCACCCGTGCTTCTGACCAAGCTGCTGTAAATTCAGGGCGTCCCCATGACCTCCTCCTTGGGTTTGATAATTTGCTAGAATGGCTCACAGTGCTTTCCTTACCACCACTGGCTTTGGATAAAGGATACAGCTCAGGCACAGCCAGCTGGAGGAGATGGTAAGGCACAGCCTATGGGGGAAGGGGTACGTGGGCTGTACCACCCTCACGGCACCTCTGCATGGCCGCCGACCTGGAGGCTCTCTGAACCTCCTTCTTGGGGGGGTTCTATAGAGGTTTCGTTACGTAGCCACAACCGATTGAATCATTGGCCATAGGTCAGGGGGTGGAGCTCAAAGTTTCAACCCTCTACACAGTCTTTCCAGTGACCAGTGACCAGCTCATCCGGGGACCCCAGCCCCTAGTCCTTCATTAGCCTGCAAAAGACATCACACTGGAGGCTCCAGGGGTTTTAGGAGCTGTATGCCATGAGTTGGGACAAAGACCAAATCCAAATACCTATTGCTTTTTTCTTTTTCTTTTTTTATATTTTAGAGAGCGTGCACGTGTGCGAGTCGGGGAGCCGAGCAGAGAGAGAGAGAGAGAGAGAGAGAGAGAGAGAGAGAATCCCAAGCAGGCTCTACACTCACAAGCCCGATCCCACGACCCTGGGATCATGACCTGAGCTGAAACTGAGGGTCTGGTGCTTGACCAACTGAGCCCCCCAAGTGCCCCGGGGCTTCTCTCCTTTTTAAGGCTGAATCCTATTCCGATGGATGGACCATGTGTGGTTTATCCTAACATGTTCCTAAAGGAGCACTGATGCTCCTGTTGATGGGGACTTGGGTTGCCTCTATCTGTTGACGATTGTGAGTCATGCTGCTGTGAATATGGGTATACAAATTTATCTTTGAGACCCTGCTTTTCAGTTCTTTTGGGTATATTCCAGAAATCTCCTTAGACTTTTAAATTATTGTGTGAAACCAACAAAACAAAACAAAACAACAAAAAACCAAGCAACCGACCAAACAAGCAAAACAACCTTGCTGTTTACTGTCACTTATTTGGAATATTAGTATCATTTATGAGATTGTTTTTTCTCCCGCTGAGTGCATGATGCCAGACGATTCTCCACATTATCGAAGAGAGTAATGGTTCTCAGTCTCTTTGGGGTTCTGGATTTCTTTGAGAAGCTAATGAAAGCCGTGGGTCATATTCCCAGAGAAACGCATGCGTATGTGAGCACACACAGCATCGATTGTGCATCTAATTTTAGGGGTCCCATAGTGACCGTGACTCCAAGATTAAAGCTGCAGCATAGGGGCGCCTGGGTGGCTCAGTCAGTTAAATGTCTGACTTCGGCTCAGGTCATGATCTTGCGGTTCGTGGGTTCGAGTCCTGCATCCGGCTCTGTGCTGACAGCTCAGAGCCTGGAGCCTGCTTTGGATTCTGTGTCTCCCTCTCTCTCTGCCCCTCCTCTGCTCATGCTCTGTCTCTCAAAGGTGAATAAATGTTAAAAAAAAAAAAAAGCCTCAGTGTAGAGGAACATCCCCTTTTTCACACTGCGAGTCACGAGGAGCAGTGGAACTCGAGACACAGAAATTTTACCTCCTGGCCGCTCATTTAGGAACATGTCAGTTCCCTGACTTCGGATGCTCTTAACATGCAGATCTCACACCCACTGCTTTGCCTTCCAGAAGCTTACCTTAGCTCCTTCACTCTTAGCCCCCAACAACAGCCAAGGAGTGTCTGGGAAAAAACTTTTTTTTCTGATTCCAGTTACCTTCCTTCCCCCTCTGGATGACCTCTGATGAATGAGGAAAGGACCAACATGTAGGTTCATTTCCTGTTTATTATTAAAGTGATTTCCAGAAATGGTTAATTACATGCATACCTATGAACGTGATGGAGAAAACAAAACCTTGACTACTGGGGGCAACTAAAGGGAAAAAACACGGTTGCGTTAGTATTTGGTCACTCTTGTAGGCAGAGTGATTGCCTGGGCCTCCCCAGGACCCAGACCTGGGGATCCAGGCCTCCCCAGCCCCCCAGGGGCTGTTCAGAGGTCCTGTTCCATGAGCGGGCGGACTGGGTCTGCTCAGACTGGTTCTGATCTCAGCGGATTAAGACCTTCCCCGGGGATCTACGGGGCCTCTGAACCGCACGACAAAGTACTCGGGAGGCATCAGGGAGCTTTCTTTTTTGGCCCCTACTTTTCACCACACTGTTTTTGAGGGACACCCGCATTCTTTAATGTTCGTGTGCCGGAACCTGCAAGGGGACCTCTCTGGGGTTGGGGTCCACTCCGCGCGAGCACCCGGCTGCGGCCGAGCCTGCCCTGGGGGGGAAGGGACCTGTCCACGCGGGGGAGGGGGCGGAAGCCGGTCTTCCTCTGAGTTTTCAGCTTCAGAGGGAGGGTAGGTCGCTACGTGCCCCCGCCCTCCACCTCCCTCCCCTCCATCCCTGCCCCCAAACTCCCCACCGCCAGCTCTGCCTCAGCTGTGCTTCCCGATCTGCCCAACCGTTAGCAACATTTCACGGACATTCCGGACCTTGGGTTTCGAGGGGCTTGGGTTTGGTTCTCACTTCCAGCAGTTATGAGCCATTCGCCTCGGGCCTCCCAGAGTCTCAGCCTCCACAGGGGATTAGGGTCAGGCCCGCCCGCCTCGCTGGGCCATGGGGGGGCTCAGGCCTTTCAGTGCCTCCCGTTGAGACTTGAGGGATGCAGTTTCAGGGGCCCCACCCAGGGGCTGGGGAGGCCTCAGAGAGACCGGGGGTCCTGCTCTCCGGGGGCCATGTGTGCAGGGGGCCGGGAGGGGAGGGGCGGCCGTGCCTGTGGCATCTCCGAGATGCCTTCTCCAAGAAGCAAGGCGGCCTGGATGACGTGGCCTCTGGCCCCGTGCCTGGCATACAGCAGGTGCTCAGCACTTACCCCGGGGCATGGGGGTGGGGTGGGGGAAGGCTGGCGCCTGCAGGTGGATTGGGGCGGGGGACAGGGGAGGCAGCCATGGGCGGATCGAGCTGTCCGCTCTGTGTGTGGATGACAGGTGTCTCTCCAATGTCAGCCCTTCTGCCTCTGGCCTGAATGATGTCACCTTGGCACCGTCACCCTGGTCGGAAGGGGCTGAGCTGCCACCACGTGTATCTTTGGTGAAGAAAAGGGACTTCGATACAGATACGGTTCACCAGGTTGACATCTCCAGGCGTGTAGCAGAGGGGGTAAAAACAAGCCGAGTCCCGGGGGAACAAGAAAGGACCCTCCCTTCTGGAGCATGGACTGCTCTGGGCGGGGCACTGGTGCTGCGGCGGGGGGAGCCCGCTGTCCTGTGCGCGGTGACCAGGGTCTCCTCTGTATCTCTCTCTGCTGGTGGAGAAGAGCGGCCATGCCGTGAGGCCGGGCTGGCGACAGCTTCTCCTTTGGGACACGGACTTCGGGACTCCCTGGGTGACCCCTGCTCTGCTCTGCCCTCCTGCCGACACTCTCCACCCCCCACCTAGGGTACCGGGAGGTGCTGGAGGGAGGCACTGCCTTCTCCGGAAGGAACGCCGGGGTCTGGCCAACCCCAGGCCAGCCTCGATCACCTTTATCTCTGTGACCAAGAGGGACTTTCCAGGGGATCCTGCCAGCCAGCCCCACGGCTGTGCAGCAAATGTTTGCTAAATGACTTAACCTAGCTCAGTATCTTCTTTTCCTGCCGGGGGTGGTAGTGCATGATTATTCAACCCCCAAGATGTCACAGAGGCAGGCACTCCAGCTCCAGCAGGCTGGGGGCCTCTTTGGTGGAAAACGGATGATGTTGGCTGCGTCCCTGGGAGAGTGAGGGTTCGGGTGGGACACAGGCTGGAGGCAAGAGGTTCTCTTCGGGCTTTCAGAAGCGGCCTCTTGGGGCCATTGCTCTCTGGTGACGTTTTGGCCCGGGGCGCAGTTTACCTACGTGTGCCAAACCAACGGATGGCAGGAGGGAAAGCTGTCTGAGGCCACCATCCTGGGCCCCACGGCCTCCTGGACTCTGTCACCACAGAGGTGAGGAGGGGCTGGCAAAGGCTGAGCCCGGGGAGCCCGAGCAAGGTCACCATCCCTGGCAAATGCCACCAGCGGGGGCGAGGGGCAGAGGCAGAGTCTGAGACTAAGGGGAGGAGGGAGGCCGGCACAAGGCCACAGCTGCAAGGCTCTGGCTCAGGCAAGAGGGCTTCCTGATTCGGGGAGGCAGACGAGGTGACCCCAGCGTTCACTCGCTGAGGGCCCAGCCGGCCCCTGAACCTCGGGGCAGGTTCTCTTCCTTTCCTTCGCGTGTCTCCTCGGAAGCAGAGAGCCAGGAGACGCCAGAGGTGCGGGGCAAAGGGGCTTCCTCCAGGTCCGCCGCTCCTGGGTCCCGCCTGACCGCCGTCCGCCGGCCACCCGCTGCAGGGGCACCTTGGGCCGCTTCCCTGGTCGCCCCAATGCCGGGCCCCAGGCCTTGGCACCTGCTTTCAGTCCTGGCCAGCTGGGCAAGCTTTTGTTTCCAGAAGCTTGGGCCTTAGCTCTTTCCCTTGGGGTTTATCGGCTGGCCAGACGCCGAGGGTCCTTGCCGGGCGAGGGGCGGCGGCGGCGGCTGGGATGGGGCTGCCTGCGGTGGGGGCTGCTCGAGGCCGATGTCCCATCCACGAGTGGGGCGCTCCTCCTGGCTCAGCCCGTGCACGTCTCCAGTCTCCCTCGGGCAGCCCGGGACTCCCGCACCCTCGTCCTTGGCTCCCGTTCTTCGGGACTCACGCGGGGCACCCGCCCCACCTGGGCTCGGTCCTTCCCCTCTCTCTCTGCCAGCACCATGGCGCCAATCTGCCGCCAGCTTCCGGAACACGGACACACGGACACGCACGCTTTGTTGCCCGGGGAGCTCTCCCAGGACCATCGGGCCCCGCGGACCGGGGATGGCTCTGGCTCTAACAGGTGGGACCCTCAAGTTTCCCAGTGTGGGGCTGACGGCTGACCCCATGCCCGGACGTCTAGTCCCCCTGATGGTGTGTGTGTGTGTGGGGGGGGGGGGGGAACACTTGGATTGGGGCGGGCTGAACGGTAGGCAGCTGGCCGACTGGGGTTGCCGGCGACCTGTCCGCGTGAAGGGCTAGGGGCCCCGCATCTGGCCTGCTGTGTCGGGGGGACGCCGGGCGGGTCTGACCACAGCGGTGGGGAATGCCGCGGAACGTGGGCGGCCTCCCACGGGAAGGGCTGGTGGACTCGTGGGGTTTGCAGGTGGCAACCGCCAGGAGCCACCGAGCGGAGCAGCAGGAGTCGGAGAGAGGTCCTCCCTGTTTTGAGAGCATTGAGAAAATGCTCCCCGCCCCCCCCTCTGGGGAGGTTGTGACCGGAGGCCCACTCCGGACGACACCCCCGTCTGATTTCTGGGCCTGAGCAAAGGCTTGGGAGGGAGGGCGGGCCTCTTTCTGGAGAGGACTGTGACTGGGGGAGGGCGGTGCCGGCCCAGGGGGGCTCCCGACTGACACTGACCTGGCCGCCAGATGCAGCCCCTTCCCACCCCGAGGTGGACTTGGGACTTGGGCGTAGCCGGTGCTGGAGGGAGTGCCGCTCGAGCTGGGGACTCACCGTTGCTGACGTAGGCGGAGGCGGTGACTGGCCCCTGCGCTCGGGGGCCCATCGTCGTCGGGGCCTGCCTTGTCATCGGCCCCCAGACCCCGCTCGCCTGCCCTCGGGCTTCGCCATCCGCGCCACGCTCCCTGGCGTGTGGGGGCAGGAGGAGGCGTCTAGAGGCATTTGGGATGGGCGACTGGAGTTCAGCGTCCAGACTCTCCCGTGCGTCTTGGAATTTTGAGCATTTGTTAACCCTAAATATACAGACCACTTCCTATGCGTGTCCCACAGCGGCAGCCAGCGGGCAAGGACTCAGCGCGTTGGGGGGCTTTTCTGGCCGAGGGGCGTACCGTGCACCCTGGTCAGACTCCAGACTTTTCTTCTTTAAGGACAGACTCTACGAGGGACGCGGCGTGTCGCAGCGGAAGGAAGGCTGCTCTCGGGGCCAGGCCTCCCGACACTGGCCGCCTGCCCCCCCCCCCCCCGGACGGGTGGGATGGAGGGGTGGGCTCCTGCCCTCGGAGGCGTCGCGTGGTGGCACGGCCCGTGCTCCCGTGGGAAAGGGCTCACTTCCCCGTGGCACGCGGCCACAGTATGGATGCCAAGGTCACGCCTCAGGGCCAGCCACACGCGCCTTGCTGCGTTTACTGCTGGGCCCCTGTACCCACAGGAGAGGGGGCAAGGGGAAACCGTCTTCTACCACATTCCATCTGAAGGCAACACTCCAGCAAAGCCTCGGGGCCCAGTTCCCAAAGAATCCGCACTCCAGGTGGGTCCAGAAGCAGCCTGCCGTCTCCCCTTCCTGCAGGCTCCCTCCTACCTTCTCCCCTTCCTGCAGGCTCCTGGCCCACAGACACAGGGGCAGCACGCTCCTGGGGAGGGGTGAGTCACTCGGGGATGCCGGCGACAGCTCGTGGGGGAAGAGATGGGTTGCAATTCGTATTTATAGTTACTAAAGAGCATTTTCCTAAAGTACCCACAAATAGAAGTATATATATATTTATCTTTATATTTATATATATATAGGACTTAATTAGATGCTCTATCAAGGAAAAGCACAAATCTACAGTTTCCTCCACCAGCAGCTCTTTTCTGTCCCATCACAGAATCCTTAGAGCCCCGCCACACGGCGCCTGCGTCCTGGGCCCGAGGCCGGAGGAGTCGGGGTGTGGACGCCTTGCAGGTGTAGACACTGGCTTATCAGAGCTTCCCAGATGCCTTCCCGCACCCCTCCTTCCACAGCCTGGCTTCCTGTCTCCGATTAGGCCTCTCAGAGCCCGCCCGGAGACAGAGGCAGCCACACTCCCCTCTCTCGAGGCGTCGGGTGAGGCCACCCGTGACCCCCAAAACGTGCACTCTGCCCAGGACCCGGCCGCGTGGTGGCACAGAGCGTCCTGGCCGCTCAGGAGAGGGCACTGTCCTGGAATCGAGCCGGCGGAGGGAGGGAGGGAGAAAGGTCGCCTCGAGCAGTGTTTTCCCAACGGGGCGATCCGAGGGGTGCGGTGGGCTGGGGTCTCTGCTTGGACGTGGTCTCACCCCCATGGGCCGGTCAGTGTTTCCGAAGGGCAGGTGCCCCGGTGACTTCCCGAGGCGGCGCGGAGGCGTGTGGAGCCGCCTTCTGGCTTCCGCCGTGGAGGGAAGGCACTCTCCCCTCCCCGTCTGGGTACCGGGCCGTCCCCAAGCTGGGCGGCTCCAAGGGCATTATTTGTAGGGCCGCAGGAATCGGGACACTTTGGAGCGCAGCAGCTTGATGAAGGACCGTGGGAACATCTCCTTGGACTCCTGGGCTGTGTACTTGAAATAGTTCTGGGGGTGCGCCAGCACATCGAACAGGGCCTTGATGAGCTTTTTGTCCTGTAAGACACGGCGAGGCGGGCGGTGAGGCCGAGTGGGGGGCCGGGGGCCCCCGCCGCTCGCTTCTCCAATGTCTGGGGTGGGGTGTCCGTGAGGACGGGGGAAGGAGGAAGAGTCTACACTGCTTGGTGGGTTTCAGGATCCCACAGACTCTCTTTGCCACGAATTCCTTTCTGATTTCTTAAGGGTTTACTGGTTTGGACTTGGCAATGCAAAATATTTTATTTCAAATGGGTTCTGCAAAACCAAACCCAAGTAGGGGTGCCCGGGTGGCTCTGTCGGTTGAGCGTCCAACTTTGGCTCAGGTCATGATCTCGCGGTTTTTGAGTTCGAGCCCCGCGTCGGGCTCTGTCCTGACAGCTTAGAGCCTGGAGCCTGCTTTGGACTCTGTCTCCCCGTCTCTCTCTGCCCCTCCTGCACTCACGCCTTTGTCTCCGTCTCTCTCTCTTAAAAAATTAATAGACGTTAAAAATATTAAAACAAACAAACAAACCAAAATAAGACGTGTTGCTGAGGCCCTGGCTTTTGAGGCCCACAGTCCGGGGTCTGAGAGCTCAGCCCCGTGTACACACCAGCCCCTTCACCGGAGGAGGGTGAGCCTCGGTGCTCAGGGCGGGGCCCGTGAGGATCTGAGCAGCAAGCACGGGCCAGAGGCCATCTGCACCAGGACTCGCTGTCACCATGAGACTTGGGCCACACTTGCTGTCCAGGGTCTGCTCTGTCCTGGTGCCCGCTCATGCGCGCTCTCTCTCTCTCTCTCTCTCTCTCCCTCCCTCCCTCTCACACAGGCGCTCACACATCCTTGCCCTTGGGAAACACAGAGCTCTTCCTGTTTTGCAGGAGCAGGGCCAGGTGCTGGGAGAGGACCCCCTATGGCTCCTCCACCGAGAGGGAGGGAGTTGACTGAGGCAGGCGCCAACGAGAGGGCTGCGTGGGGCTCTAGGAGTCTGTGACCTGCCCAGAGGAGGGGCACCTAAGCTGAGGGCAGGACAGTGGGACGTTCACTGAGGAGAGCGGCTGGGGAAGAACGTTCTCGAGAGGCCCTGGCGAGGGAGTGGAGGGAGCGTGGAGGCCTGAGAACCGCTCGGAGGCAGGTGGTGGCCTCGCTGGTCCAGGTTTTGTCCTACGTAACGGAAACGCTTCTAGCTCTGGAGAGATGCTCTCGGCTGCAGGGTTGGAGCTGAGGGCAGAGGGCCCGGGGTGGCAGGGGAGGGGCGAGGAGGAGAGTCAGGATGGACTGATGGAAAGGCCAGCGTGACCTTCTGGTTCCTACTAAACAGAAGGAACTAAACAGGCTCCGAAACGTCCAGGCCTCACCCCGGTTGCAGCAGCATCAGGGGCAAATCCCTCTGCCTACAAACCGCCTACTATGTGCAGGGGTGCGCCAGGCCCGGGGCTGGAAGACCTGAACTCTGCGAGCCACCCGTTTCTTAGAGGGGTTGCCTGGGGCCACCGGGCGGGTAAGTGACAGCTAGAACAAGGGTCAGCGGGGGCGGGGGGACTGGCCTGGTCCTGCGCTTGTCCCGTCCACCTCAGCTCCCGGGCTGGGAGAGCCGTCTGCCTACAGGCTGGGCTGGGGCCGGACCCCCAGAGCCCGAGCAAATCCCTGGGTCCGGCCTGGCCACTGCCCGCCGCGTGACGGCCGCAGCCCCCCTCGACGACAAGGTGGCTCTGCTTCCCAAGCCATGAGCAAGATGAGGGGACAGGCGGTCCCGAGGGCGGGGGTGGATTCTACCGACTTTCAGCTCATTTCACAGGCGGGGAAAGTGAGGCCAGCAGAGGCTCAGGAAGCTGCCCAAAGACTAGTCACCAGGTCCTGGGCCAGGACACCCACCAGGGAGCCGGCCTCGGACCTCCCGGTCTGCAGGGACAGATGCACTGGAGCCAGGCCCCGCCCCCAGGGCCCCCCGACCCCCTCCTCCTCTCCTGTCACCACCCTCCCCCGCTCACATCTCCGGGGGTGGGGGGTGGGCGCTGGGGGCAGGGGTGGCCCTGGGTCATCACAGGCCACTATCCTGGGATCACACGGATCCTTTCCCATAAAGGAGCTCACTCACTTTTAAAATTTCCTGGTGATTCTCCGAGGCGTAGAGCCGTCCGTCGCGAACGATGTCTTCTATTAATTGCTGGTAGTCCTCTGCGAAGCCCGCCGGCGGGGAAGGAAGGGTGGTGAAGGCTCCAGACCCTGCCTGCCCTCCCCCCTCACCTCTGGCCTCTGCCCTGACCCACTTTCAGGCTTCAGCCCTTGGCCAGAGCAGTCCTGCCTCCGAACCTCTGTACCCTCCACCCAAACTGTTTTCCTCGAGCTTTGGCGAGCGGGAAACTCCTACTCAACCCTCAGAACCCTGCCTGGGCAGCACCTCACGCTGAAGCCCACAGACGCCACTAAAGGCTCCCTCATCTGCACCACCCCTACCCCTGTGTGCCTGTCATCTCTGTGTCTGCGGGGCCGGCCCGGGCTGGGCGCACGGTGCAGCCACACGTACCGTCGTAGGTGACATAGGGCACTTGGAACCCTTTGCCGCTGTTGCCTTCGTTGGACTTGAACTGGATCCAGAGCTTCCGGGAGCGGGAGGTGAAGGCGATGGGCCTCTCATAGGTCTGGCAGGTCTCGTAGGTGGTGATAGACGTGGGTGAGGCTGGGGGCAGAGCCGAGGACCTGAGTGGCTCGCTGATCCACAGCTCTGCACCTGGCCCCTGTCCTCCTGCTTTGGGCCGCGTGTCCCCCCACACCGGTCAGCCACCCAGCCCCCACATCCAGTCCCCCGAACAGCCCAGCTCTGATCTCCACCCTCGTTCCCTCTGCCTCAAGTGCCTGGCCTCACCCTCAACCCCAGTTCCCACTCATCCTGCGGAGACAGGTTTGTGTCTCCCCGTCCAGGAAGCCTTCCTGACTGCCTGCCGTGTTCCTGCTCTGCTCTGGTGAACCCTTTGTCACGGCCCCTCTCTGCTGGGTTGTCACTGTCTCCCTCTGGAGGGAGGGATGCTCCCCCAGGACAGGGCTCATGCCTGTACCCAGCACGAACCAGGGCCGGGGTGGAGGGTCACATTTGGGAAGTCCCCTCTCCCTGTGAACAGATGAACAGGAGTGAACCTGCTGACCCTGGGGTGCGTGGGGCTGGCCAAAGGGTCCCCCACCTCCTCACTGCTCCCTGGGGAGCCTACCTGAGGTGCCCTGCAGGCGGGAGAGGCTGACCCCCTAGAGTCCAACCCTGCGGGCAGGATGCCGGGGACTAGGGAGGCTGGTGACAGAGCGGGTGGTGGGTGGGGGACGGTCGCGGGCTGGGCTCGGACCGGCTGTGGGATCCCGGGCAGGCACCATGCCCTTTCTGGCCTCTCGGCTACACTGAGTGGGTGATGCACACACGTGGTAACAAGCAGGACAAGGGGAACAGAGTGGACAGAAACCCCTCAGTCTCCCTGTGCCTCAGAGACATTCCAGCCCCAAGCGGGCAGGTGCGTTTTGTGCCTGCCTGTGTCCACCTCCTCCTTCCCTAACGTTCTGACTGGAGCTTGCTCCCCGTGGTCCCCATGGCCCTCCAACAGCAGTCAGGCGCCCTGGCCTAGGCACCCGCTGCAAGGGACTTCACCTCGCTCCTGGGGGGACGCCGGTGCTTCCCCGCCTTTCTCGTTCTCACCCACCACGCCCACTGCTAGAGCCGGCCTGCTGCTCGTGGCCTGAAGTCCCTCTACGAGCCTCTGACAGGGGTGACGGGCCGGGACGCGGTGACTCACAGAGGGGAAGGTTCAGGCTGTCTGACCCTGGGGTGTCCTGCGTGTGCACAGGCTGGCCCTTCGCTTGCGAGTCCCCGAGGGAGCGGGAGGTGGGCGGAGCAGGGGTCGCTCCCGGGGCCTCACCCTAGGTGGGGTGGCGGGACAGGCAGGACACCTGGGAGGAGACTGGCTGGTGGTCAGCGTGGGGACCGGACCCGGCCGGGCCCGGCTCCCGCGCTCAGGGTGCGTCCCGCGCTCGCCACCCTCGGGGCAGGGCTTGAGGCAGACAGAGGGGCGCCGAAAGCCCGCCCCACGGGTGACCCTGGGCGGCCCCTCGCTGCCCTGCCACCACCTGCACCTACCGCTCTTCCTCATGACCAGGACGTCCCCGCACTCGTCCTCGACGGGCAGGAAGATCTCGGGGACCACGATCAGGATCCTGCGCTTGGGGGGCGGGGAGATGTGCCAGACGCACTCCGTGTTGGCCGGGTAGTCGCCGGGGTAGTTGGGGGACTCGATGTAGCCCGTGTAGTCCCCGAGCTCACCGCCACAGTGCTGGTCTGTGGGCACCGGGGCGCGAGGGCCCGCTCAGGCCGGCTGCACGGGTGCCCCAGAGGCCCAGCCTCCACCCGGCCTCCCCACCAGCCAGGGAAGGGGCAGACAGAAGAGGAGACACAGAATTTGATGGAGGCTTCAGGCTCCGAGCCGTCGGCACTGAGCCCGACACGGGGCTCGAACCCACGAACCGTGAGATCACGACCTGAGCCAAAGCTGGACTCTTAACCGACTGAGCCACCCAGGCGCCCCTGAGTGGAAATATTAAATATACAGCGTTTTCTTACATGTTTTCATTTATAAAACTCAAAATTGCTGGGAAGCATTTCATTTTTACACTTATCTTCCAGAAGCTTCCCCTCCTATTCGGTTTCTCCACTTTAACTCATGAGGACATTTGAAACCCTGTCTCGGGGCGCCTGGGTGGCTCAGTCGATTGAGCGTCCGACTCTTGATTTCAGCTCAGGTCGCGATCTCACGGATCGGGGGTTTGAGACCACATCGGGCTCTGTGCTGACAGTGCGGAGTGTGCTTGGGGTTCCCTCTTTCCGCTCCTATCCTGCTGGTGCGCTCTCTCTCTCTCTCTCTCTCTCTCTCAAAATAAATAAACTTAAAAAAGAAAAAAATAAAACCCTGCTTCTGTGGAGCTCGCCCACTGTCCCTGCTCTTCTGCCCCTGAAGGCCACGAGCTGTGGGGATGCCCCGGGGAACAGAGGGTTCCACCTCTAGGATTAAGTCCCCTTCGCGGGCCTTCAGGCTGTTCAACATGCCAGCAGCCCAGTGTCAAAGGGCTAACTGGCTAGAAGTCGCTCAGGAGAAGGGTACGACACTGGAAAAGCCGTCCGCAAGGACTCCGAGAAATGAATTAAAAAGTATCTGAACTAAAGGTAGCGTCCTGTCGGGCCCAAATGACTCGCTAAGTGAGGGAGCGGCGTATCTGCTTCCCAAATTGTCCCGTGCTGCCCGCGGCACTGATGTCCTTTGGCTAAACCGAGCTCCTCTTGGACACGAGAAGGCCGCGTGCTGGTCGCCGCAGCCACACGCACTGAGCGCGTCCTTCCCGGGTCCTAGGTCATCCGCTCTGTGTCCACCTACCAGTCCGGCCGTGCGTGCCTTCAGGGCGGCACAGCCTGGGCCTCCGCGGCTGCCCCGCACGGGGCCTGGCTTTTCCCTCCACAGGCCCGGAGCCCGGGGCAGGGCCCGGCCGGGCACAGGGGCGCAGGCTGCCCTGGGGGGCGGGTGTCACGCGGAGCAGGTACACGTGCCGGAGCAGGGAGGAGTCCTCCGCCGGCCCGCGGGCACCACGGGAGGTGAACACCCACCCCGCCCCCGGCAACGCCCCCCAGCCTTCCCAGCGCCCCGGCCGTGGCAAGAGCGGCACCTACTTTTGCAGTGCGTGACGTTGGTGGAGCCGTCGAAGTCGGTGCTGGTGTTGCCCGGGCAGGTGATGCAGTGGTTCTGGCCGAACTCAGGCTGGTAGGTGCCCACGGGGCAGCGGATGCACCGGTGGGTGGTGGTGTTGTAGTGGTGGCCGGGGGAGCAGTGCACTGTGGGGCGGGGACGCCGGTGGGCAAGGGCAGGGCGCGTTCTCGCCGGGGCCTCCTGCCCTCGAGGCCTGTCTCGGCACAGAGTTCGAGGCCCTCCTCCACCACCCAGGCACCCCCCGCCACGTGCGCCCGGTCCCGACCCTGCCCACAGCCGTGCGTGTGTTCGGGGGCAGTAAACGGGACACGAGACGCTGTGAGGCCGGGCGTGGGGTGGCTCCAGAGGTGCAGGGATTTTGAGTGGAGACTCGAGTCGTGCGCAGCTGGCCGGGAGGCTCTCTGCGGGGAGGAAGCGGCAAAGCGCGGGCCCGGGGTGGGCTGCACGGCTGCCGGGTGTGGCCAGAGGGGAGGTCAGAGGCCACGGGGACGAGCTCCCGGGCCCAGGGGTCATGCTAGGCTTTGCTCTGAGTGAGGGCACCCGGGGCCCCGGCATGTTCCCGGCGGCCGCTCTGGGGGGAGGGGTGGCAGGACAGGCGGCAGGGGCCTGGCTCAGGGGTGGCAGCGGGGTGGCGAGAAGTCATCGGTCAGAGGAGCTGGCAGGGGCTGCGCACAGACTGGGCGTGAGGGCAGAGGCAGAGCACTCGGGGGCTCCCCGGGTCTCCCTGGAGCACCTGGCCGGGCGGAGCTGCTGTGAACTAGAGCGGGGGTTGCCGTGGGGCAAAATGAGGGGCTCTGGCCACGTGGGGTGACAGGTGCTTGCTGGACATGTCCGGGGCCGTCCCCTGGCAGGAGGGTGTAGCATCGAGTTTGGGACAGAGGCTGGGCTGGGGACAGAAAGTGGGGTCACCGTGCAGATGATCCTTCTGTCCAGACTCCGGAGTGAGCGCCCAGGCCGGGGACCCCGAGCCCGACCGGGCGGGGGGGTGGGTGAGGCTGAGGTGTGCTGGGGCCACCGGCACGTGGGAGGTGTGGGCTGGGAGTGGACTTGGCTCTGGCCTTGAGGGGAGCGGTGACCGGGGGGCAGCGGGGCAACAGACTGACTAGTGGGGTTCAGGAGAGGGCGTGCGAGAGAAATAGAGTCCACACGCTTTTGCTACAAGGTTCCCAGTAAGGAAGAGAAATCCTGGCAGGAACTGGAGGGGGGTGGGGCTAGAGAGTTACGACTTTTCCTTCCAGAAGGGAGGCTTCAGAGCAGTCTGTCTGTTCCTAGGAACACGGGGGTCAGTGAGCAGGCAGAGTTGTCCCAAAGGCCTTGGCGGGCCGGAGTGTGTGGACGGGGAGGCGGGCTCATCAGGGACACGTGGTGACGTGGAGGGGACGGTGTGGCTGGACCGCAGGGTCCCCACGGCCCAGGTGAGCTGAGATGCCCGACCTCGCCCCACTGTCCCTGCTGCCCCCACATTTCTTCACCTCCCGCAACCCTCCTTCTAGCCAGGCTCAAGGCTCCGTCTACAGCCACTGCGCCTCCTGCCCCTCGCACCTGAGACCCTCGGGCAGGCTTGTGTTGGGCCCCGTGTCCCTGTCCTAGCGGGCGGCACGGTGACGGTCACCGACGTCCGCTGCCTCACAGCTCCCGGATCCTCCGCTGCCCTTGGAGGTCTGCCACCCAGGAAATGAGAGGGGTTGAGGGCAAACGTCCCCCAGCCGCCCAGCCCGCCTCACCTCTGGCCTCGCAGTCTTGGAAGGAGGCTGTGCCCTCGTGCTTGGTAAGTATCCCTCCTCCGCAGGGGAAGCAGCCCGTGCGCCCAGGCTCTGGCTGGTACGTGCCCACCGGGCAGGCTTGGCAGGGCCTGAAGCCATCCGGGGAGAAGAAGCCTGGGGAGCACTGACCTGGAAGTCAGAGGTCACGGCTCAGGCTGGCCGGAGGGGGCGCCTGGGTCCCGACCCTGCTCTCAGCCCTCCCCTGCCCTGGGGAAGGGCACTAAGGGGGTGGTGGGAGGGACCTGGCCCCAGTTTGGACGTTGCCAGTGGCTCAGGTGCTCTGGGACCTTGGCCGGGCCTGGCTTGACCCTTCCCACTGGCAAGAAGGGCTGCGGGTTAAAGAGCGGGTGGCCTTGCTGCTGAGCTGGGATGCGCGAGGTTGGAGGAGGTCACTTACATCAGAGGGGCTTCCCCCAGGGGAAGGACCACACTGTGCCCTCGCGAGAGGAACGGGGGCTCCAGGCTGGCACACCTTGTCTGTCTGCAGGGCTGGGCCGAGCAGAGGGAGGGGGCTTGTGAGGTCCCTGAGGGCGCCGCTGGGACAGCGGGAGGGGACAGCACATCTAGAGGGAAGTCGGATGTAGAGGGCGCTCCAGCACTGAGGGAGGGGTGGGTGGGGGGCCCTCTCAGGCCCAGACCCTGAAATCCCTGTTCCTACCAGTGGCTACTCTCTGCTCTCAAACAGTCACCTTCCTGTCAAGAGCAGAGGCCATACTCCTAGAGGGCACAGCCGGCCAGCCTGCAGAGGCTCAGGGCTGGGCTCTGATCTCTCCTGTACCCCAGAGAAGGCTGGCTGTGGTCTCCGCTGTCCTAAGGATCTCACTCATCCACCCTCGTGGGCACACCTTTCCCCACCTGTTCTCTTGGGTGGTCCCCACGACGGCCTGGGAAGGGAGGCTGATGGGTGGGGGGTATGAGCCCATTTCACAGATGTGGTCATGTGAGGTGTAAGTGGAAAAGCTCTTTGTAAACCAAACTGTGCTTGGTAAATCAAAAAAGGGCTTTCCAAGCCATCTACAGGGCAAACTGTAAAGTTCTTTATAGAGTACAGTTCTTGCCGAGTACATGGGGCGCCCCGTAAAGCATTTCGACGATGAGGCAGTTCTCCGTACAACGTAATGTGTTTTGTCAACCGTGAAGCGCTATGTGCCTCTGCGACGGTAACGTGACCTGTAAGTGACCGAGTATTTGTAAACTGTCAAATCCTTTCTGAACTGCACGCTGCAATTTTCAAGTGCGCTAAGTACAGCCCGTGCTCGCCGGCACACAGACGCTACGGGTCTGTGCGTCCTTTGTGAGTGCAGCGACGTGGAAGTCGTACCGGGCTCTGCGAATGGCAAAGAGCTTTACAGACTGTCACAAGGTACCAGGCCTTTGCTTTGGGGACCTCAGTGGAGACAGGAGGTACTCCCAGCACCCCCACCCCACCCCACCCCCTCCCTCCTGGGGGGGCCCGCACTCGCCTCCACATTCGGACACGTTGCGGGCACCAGCTAGGCCGAGCCCGTCGCTGCTGGGGCATGGCGTGCAGCTGAGTTGGCCGTCCCCGTCCTGGTAGGTCCCCGGGGCGCAGGGCACACACTGGCCCGGCTCTCCGCTGAAGTGGGTGCCAGGCCCGCAGGCCACTGCAAAGGCAGAGTGGAGAGATCGCTGGTGGCAGAGGTGGGAGTGGTGGCCGGGTGGTCTCTCGGGCTCTGTCCTACCAGATAGGGTGCATCCCTTGTCCCTGGGGCTCAAAGGGCCCGGAGGAGCCCAGACCCGTCTCAGGAGAGAAGGAGCAAGGCGGCAACCATCTGTGAAGGCCCTGGAGTCCTGACCCTGGTCTCGTGCCCCATCGTGGCTGCTCCGCTCAGGGTCCTGGGCAGACCCTTCCTCCTTGTCCTGCCCTTGGCCTGCGTACCAACTGCTTCCTGGGCATCCCTCATCCAAACCCAGCTCTCCTCCCTTCCCCTTTCCTTCCTCACGGGGGGGGGGGGGGTTGCCATCTGAGGAGATATGGGGTGGTGCAGAGGGCGTGGGGCGGGTGACGGAGGCAGGGGCAGGAAGGTCCGGTGGCTGAGGGTCGTCCAGGGATGGGGGGCTGAAGGGAGAGCCAGTGTGGTTGGCTGCATTGAGCAAACAAGCAAACCGGTGAGTAAGCAAACTGACTGAGCAAATAAGGAGAAAGGGAGTGAATGTTTCTCTGGAGAAGAGATTTAGAAAGAGAGAAGGTTAGAAAGAACCTTGAGAAACTGAACTGGAGGTTCAATGGAACGGGTGTGAACTCAGGGTTTTATAAAACACACACACGCACATGCACACACACACACATGTGCACGCACGTGCACTCTGGTGTATACATCTGTATCTACGTAAATGTATACATATGCTAATGTACGTGTGTATTTGCACACATATAGAAACCTATGCTTTCTAGTTCCGTCCAGTGGGAGGGCCTAGAAGCAATGACGCTCCAGGGCAATGAGTACCCCACCTTTGGCTTTTCCATATCCTCTTCCTCCTTTAGGGGTCCAGGGGCCCTGACCGATTCCAAAGGGGCAGGGAAAGTCCAGGTTTTGTGCCAGAGAATCCTCAGTGAGTGACAGAGGCATGGGGCACGTCCCAAGGACGTGGGAGCCAGTCTGACGGGGCACCTACTGGCTACCATGGGGATGATCTGAGCACTGAGCTAAATGACGTTAGGAATGGATTACAACCCCTTGGGTAAAAGAAGAATCTCTAAGTCCGCACTGACATAAATACACAGCCACGCGGACACGCAGACAGATACATAAATGAGGGGGGAAGCAAAGCTCGTTCTTACGGGAGAACGCGGACTTATACACAGACAAGGGCCGGCAGGAATAGAGAATACCGCCCGGTAACCACTGTAGAGGAGGCTGATCTGGCAGGAGTTGCCACCGGGTGCGACGGCTGGTGGCTGGCGAGATGTCTGATGGGGAGCAGGATGTTGGTGTAAACTCAGACTACATAACATCCCCAGAAAAACCCTCGTCAGTTACATACAGAAGGAAAAGGGTGAATTAAGGTGGAGGCGCCAGCCGTGGGCGGGGTCAGTATCCTGTGCCTCCTGATGGGGGCGCTGAAGAGCAGGCGTCCAGCGTGAATGGGGCTGGTCGCGGAAACGTGGGGCGCAGCCCGGTAGCACTTGGGGACAGCGGGGGCAGGAGGCGCAGGGAAAGAGCAAGGAACTGGTCCAGAATGAAGGAATCCGGGGAGACAGGACGCTAAGTGTGGAGGACAGGGGCGTTGTTGGAAGAGCGGGTGAAATGTAACGGGTGTGTGGCCCGGATGGTGGTGTAAGGGTCACACACGCACACGCCCCAGAGGGCGCGACACAGCACACGGGGGAATCGGGATGAGGAGAACACGGAAGTCCCTTGTTCTGCCTGGAGATATTTCTGAACGTGTGAATGATTTCAGAATGAGCTATTAAAAATAAAAGAGTGTCAACACGAAGGCCGTGGTCCTCCCTCCCTGTCCGCTCCTCCCTTCCCCCCACGCTCCTAAGCCCCGCCTCTCGTCCACCGGCTCCCCAATTCATCTCTGTGGCCCAGCCTATGCTTCGCGCTCCAGATTCCCGGCTCCGACCGCCCATTCGACGTCTTCGCGAGGACGACTCGGATGCGTCTGAGCACAGGAGGACAGACAGAACACCCTCCACCAGCCCCTCCGCCCCAAGTTCCCCACGGTGCCCTCGAAGCCTCTCCCCTCCGCCCCCCGCACCGCGGGCCCCCCCCCCCCCCCCAGAGTGCACTCGCAATGCGCCTCATTCCTTCCTGGCCTGCTGCCAGCCCCGATCCCCGTTCAAGGCTCTGCCGGCTCCCACTGGGCCTCCCCTCTCGGGTCCTCCCACCGGGAAGCCTTCTCCTGATGAGAGAGTGGGTAAGGCTGCTCCCCTGCTTGGTCAGGTCATCTGCGGCCTGGGCCTGGGCCCCGGCTGGCTGCCCTGGCCGAGCTCCCGCCGGGGGCCTGGCCTTGCCTGCTCCCTGCAGCTGGTGCCCCCTGAAGCTGGTGCCCCCTGAAGCTGGTGCTCCCTGCAGCTGGTGCCCCCTGAAGCTGGTGCTCCCTGCAGCGGGTGCCGCACTCTGGGCGGCCTCGGCCTCCTGTGCATCCTTGCTCTGCTGCTCCTTTGCCCTCAGCTCCTACGCGGCCTCCGCTGGGAAGCCTTCTCTAGCCACACGGACTTGTCCTCCCGCCCCCCCCCCCCGCCCCTTCACTGTGGCCGTGCCAGCCTGTGCTCTCCCTGTCCCACCCGTCCTCAGGATTATGGCGAGGGTCAGATGTACAAATGTCTGCCCGGCAAGAGCCTTGCCCAGGGGGCGGCACCAGGGGAACGTTCCTCAAACGACAGCCATGATGACGAGCACGACAGTGCTTCTCTCTGGCAGGCTTCTGCGTCTGACTGTCCCCTCCCGAGGCATCTGTTTACCCAGGCCACCCGTGGAAGGAAGGGCAGAGGGTGTTTGCCCAGTGGGCATCCCAGTGGGCCACGGGCAGGGACGCACCGCATTTCCCGTCCTGTAGCACCTGGCCCGTGCTGCACGCCCCTGGGCCCTCCGGGGCCTTGGCCGGCCACTGGGCCATCGCGTACTCTGTGCCTGCGACCTGGATGGAGAACAGCTGTCGGCCGATGGACCTCCGCAGAGTCTTGATGGCGGCCTGTAAGCTCTGCTCCGCGCGCTTCCGCATGCAGTCGGCCTCGCAGGTGTCTGCAGGGGCGGGAGGGACGGTCACTCACAGCCCCTCGGGACTGCCTCTTCCCGAGCTGCCCCTCTGCCAGGCCTCTGCCGAGGGCACAGGCTCGCAGCGGCCGCAGGCCCCCTTGTTGCATCCGCCTGACAGATGAGGAGACCGAGGAGGATCCGACACGTAGGACCTTCCCCAGGCCGCCCAGCAGGCCTCCGCCACTGAGACGCGTCACCTCCCTAGGGCACGGCTCACGGACGGGCGCCCCTCCCTGCCACTCAAACAGCCTTGAGGCCACCACTGTTCCCAGGATGACAGCCAGCTCTCTGGCCTTGAACCCAAGGCCCCTCATGGTGGGGCCCCCGCCTGCCGCGCCAGCCCTGGCCCCCAGTCCTCTGACACCCACTGTGGACTCCACCTTCCGCCCTGCCCTCCTGAACACACTCCGTTCTCTCTGACCTCTGTGCCTTTGCCCGTTCCATTCCCTCTGCCCGAAGGCCATTGCCTGCCACCTTTTCCACTGGATCTTTGATTTCAAGCCCTGATTCACACGGCACCTCTTCTGGGAGGACCTCCCGGGCTCCTCTCTCGGGGAGACGCCTCAGCTCTGTGGCCCCCACCCCGGGGGTCTCCCTTGGCACCGGGTAGTTTGTGTGCGCGTCGGCCTCCCCGTGGCTGGGGGTGCCGCCAGCGTGAGGACCTTGGTCTGGTCCCCTCTTTCCACCATGCCCAGCGCTGGGCACACGCAGCACACGTCTGTTGACAGAGCTCAGAAAGCACGGACACGAAACTCAAGCCGGCAATGTAAGCCCCCTTCTGGAACATGGGAAAGACAGGCCAGTGGCTCAGTCGTTCCGGAAAGGCCACAGGCGTTAAGCCCTTCCGGGCCCCAGCGAGCGCATGGGGGACGGTTGGGAGAGGCCGTGTGGCCATCATGTGGGCCCCTGAGCCCCGTTCCTCTCACTGCCCTGGGCCTCCTCTCCCACCCCGGGCTACGGGCAGCCGTTTTGAGGACCCGGCGCCGACCCGCACCAGTCCCCCCATCTGCCTGGCTGGGCCTCTACGTCCAGGAGCCGTGGCTCGGGTGGGAGCCCGGACCCCGCCAGCCCCCCGCATCCTCTGCCCCCCCTCCGGCCTTCGGGAGCCTCACCCACCTGAGGCCTCGTCCGTCTTTGCCTCCACCTCGAACTCCGCCGTGATGTGGGTCACCTCCTTGGATGGGGACTTCCGGCCACGGCGCCTCTTCTTGGAGGAGTCACACTTGAAGTTCACAAAGGTCACGTGGCAGTTTTCTGGACAAAGAAGGGACCGCTGTGGCAAAGGTGGCACAGGGCAGGAAGCAGGGTCCTCCCGAGCCCCGCGCACAGGTCGCCACCGGCGAGGCTCCCGCTTCGCCTAACGGCCTGCGGTGCGGATGGGGAAACTGAGGCCGGAGAGGGCCAGGCTGGCTCCAGGTCTCACGCGGGGCCGGTGGCTGAGCCAGGCCCCGCACCAGCCATTCTGAGTCTGTCAAACCGCTGCAGGTGGAGGCACCTGGCGTACTCGCTTCGTGGAGCCGTGCCGCTCAGTTCCGTGGGGGCCCGGCCCGGGTCGGGGCTGCTTGAGCCATGGGCTCTGTTAGGTCTGGGAAGGAGTCCTAAGGCGTTCCGGAATCTTGGTGGAAACAGAGCTGGGATGCTTTTCGCCTGCGCTCTTCTCGTCGGGCTTTCCCTACACTAACCCCTGACCCCCCTGGGGTCAGAAGCCTGGAACGTCCTTCTTGGCCTCCCTCATTCAAGGATGAGCCACTGCCTGACTCCCACGAGGCCTTCTGGACACAATCAGGCTGCACTTGCCCTGGGGGAGCTCATCTAACCCACTCCAGGTGGGGCAGGGGCAACGGGCCCCGGGGATGCTGCGGGACCTGAATTTTCCACTCAAATGCCGGCCTTCTTCCCGAGGGACACCACCACTGCCTATGGTGCTTCAGGCATGGCTCCTGGGGCTCAGGGACCGTGATGGGGAGGACAAGGAGAGGCCCCCACACTTGAAGCCCAGCCCCACTGGCCGCTGGGCTCCCAGCTCCCAGGCACGGGGACCCCCGCCACCCCCGTGTGGATCAGTGCCATGGCCGCCCACTCACCCAGCAGCGGCTGCCTCGGGGCCTCCTTTGGTGGCTCCTGGCTGTGGGCCCAGAGGCGGCACCTGGCATCTCGGATCTTGAAACGGGCCTTCTGCCTGATGGAGGCAGGCGCACCTGGGGAAAGCCCAGACCCCCCTGGTGGCGGCCTCTCCTGCAGGCAGGGAGGTGGTGGGGCCGTGGGCTACACAGGGGGCCGCCACTGGGACAGATCCACGGGGAGCTGGGGCTGGGGAGCCTCCACTGCCTCATTTCTCTCCCCGCAAGGCCTGAAGAAGGTGGGCGTGTGGACGGCGGGGTCAAACTCAAGCCAGGGGCCACCCAGCCAGAGGTCTCCTGTGGAGGAGGAGAGGGAGGCCTCCCGCCTCCTCCCCCATCAGCACGGCCGGGGCACGTGGCTCATGCTGTTGGGAAACGGGGTTAGAACAGAAAAGAGAGGGAAGCAACAAAGGGAAGCGGGGTTTGGAATAACACAGGTGCCCCGAACTGCTGATTCCTTTAAAGAGCCAACCACAGCTGCTGGTACTGAAGAATCCTACAATCGCAGATACTTAGACTCACATCCTGCGTGTGTGAAATGCCCACAGATGCCCCCATATCATTGGATTCAACATCCCGAATGGGAAAAGCTGCTGGAGACAACCTCCTGCGTCTGCTGGGCCGCCCGGGACCTGGCTGGTGGGTCCCAAGGGGCGTGGGAGGGGGCTGTGCCTCCAGTACTGTCGGGACCTCGTGCTCACAGCACCCGTGAGTCACTTCACTGAAACGGAGCCTGAGACCCATAGGCTCCTAGCACCTCGGGGTCACTGGAGCCGCGGCCCAGAGCCTCCGAGCTGGAAGGGCCCTTCCCTCCGTGGCTTGCTGCCCCTGGGCTGGGACTCAGCCCGCAGACCAGTTGCTTGTAGGTCCCAGCACTGCTCTCAGCCCCCCAGGACCCTGGACCGTGCGGGGCAGGCCCCCGGCCAGGAAGCTCTTCCCCAGGCAGCGCCCCTCCCTCTCGCCCCAGTATGGTGCTGGACGCCAAGCCCAGGGCTCACCCGGGCACAGGCAGCACGGACAGGCCGGGGGTACCTGAGCAGCTGGGGCCAGCGCTGGAGCTGGTGCTGTTTCGCTTCTGTGGCGTCTTGCCCTGGAGACCCGGGACGCCGCAGCTCAGGCTGTAGCTGTTTTCTGAGTCTGCGGAGAGGCCGGTGGCCAGATGGACTTGGGTGCCCCCCACCTCCCCGCCAGGGGCCCCTGATCCTAGAGGTCTCAGAGAGATCGCTCTGGGTAAGTGGCTGGGCGGGAACGAGCCCACCACACTTGTTGGGAGGGATGCCGTGGCCCACAGAGAACCAGCCAGCGGGCTGGGATCACTCGGCGATCAAGGCCGGGGGCGGGGCGGGGTGGGGGTGGGGTGGGTTCATTCCTAGGTTGGGCTCTTTCCTGGAGAACGGAAGGGAGCAGGGGCTGCACCTCAAGGAAGGAGCCCCCCACTCCCTCATCCCCTCCCGGGGACGGCCTCAGGTTACCTGGCACGAAGAGTGAGTGGGCGGGGCAGAACAGGGAGCACCTCTCCACGCCGCCCACCCTGCTGCAGGACAGCTGGGCCCAGGTTGAGGCTTTGGCCCGGGAAAGGCACCTGCCTGTCTCTGAGGAGAGGGAAGACATAAGAGCAGGTCGGAGGGGGCCAGGGTGGAGGCTTTCTGGAGGCCCTGCCCCTGAACGTGGACCATCAGGGACTCCCACCACACCTCTGCCCCGTGGCCAGACCTCGGTGGGAAGGGGCTGGGGGATGGCAGGGTCCGTCCTCCCTCTGACCAGTCCAGGCCGTCTGTGGCAAGGGTCACACCGCTGGCCTGGGCCGGAGGGCAGGGCTGGATTCTCTAGGGCAGGTGCCCGTGCCCCTCTGAGTAAGGGAAGAGCTGACAGTGGAACAGGCTTCGTGGCAGTGACTGACCTCGAAGCACGTGAGGTCGTGGTCACTGGGAGCCCCTCTCCGGGGCAGCCGCTGGACACGGCCATCAGGTGTCTAAAGATGTCCCCCAAATTAAGCTCCCCAGAGTTTCTCATGTGATTTTTAATCTTTTGAGGATGACAAAAGTCCCCAGACTCCCAGGAGACTGACAGGTCTGCAGCCACGGTAAAATCGGAACAGATTTCGTGGACCACAAACTGGTCGGTGACCACTGGCTGAGATGAACACGCCTCTGGAAGCGTCGCACCCAGTGTCTGTCACCAGCGGTCGAGCTGCTCCAGCCAACAGGCTGAAACAGGGGACGTAGCCGGAAAAATAAGCTGAGAGGGGAAACTGCCCATCTGGATGGTCTCCGACATGTGGCTGAACATTTTCAAGGAGTCTTAGAAAGTAAATAATCTAGAAATGCAAACAAACCCCTGGCGCTCCAGGTAAAACCCCAAATAAATACAAGACCAAAGAATCAAGAACCTTCAAATAAAACCCCCTGCAGAAGAACCGATGTTCACGCTGGTTAACACGCAGCGGGACAAGCATCGGCAAACTTCCAGGGGAGACGTCAGCCCCCAACCGTTCCCCGGACTGTCTGTAAATTCCTAAAGGGAACTGTCACTGACTCTGGCGAACAGCAACACTGCCTTCTTGTCCTCACGGGGGTCGCTCGTTGGGAGAGGCAGACCATCCTGGCCCCGAGCATCCTGTGTGCTCTTGCGGGGACGCTGGGGATGCAGAGTCCCCGGACAATTTCTCAGGGTCATGTTTACCTCCAGCAGCCTCAGGGATGAGGGAACATCTCCCCCTGGAGAAGCAGCAGGCTCGCTCTGTTCCCTCCCTCGGCTGCGATGCAAGGTCTCTACCTGCACGGCGTCAAGGGCGCAGATGGGACGTGGGGGTGGGCAAAGGGGAACCCACACAAATGTGCTCTTCCTGCTGGTTGCCGTGCTGTGTACAGAAGTCCTTCAACTCTGGCCCAAGGGCTCCAGGACTTCCAGAACTTTCCTGGTGCCCTGAAGCAGCAGCAGCCTAGCTCACTAGCTGTATGTGGGCAGAATCTCTGACCCCACCACGTGCACCACTGAGACCACCATCACAGAATGCCAAAGCCCAGAGAAAAGCTTAAAGTCACCACCTAACAAGCAAGAGGGAAGGCAAACCGACCGGTGGTAAGTGGGCGAAAAAAAAAGAAAGAAAGAAAGAAAGAAAGAAAGAAAGAAAGAAAGAAAGAAAGAAAGAAAGAAAGAAAAAGTATCGTTAAAGTAAGGATGTCAGGTTGTGGGAGAACACGAAAGAAGTAGGAAGAGGCAGCTCTGAAAGTGGGCGAGAAGTTGCAGAAGGCGTGGGGGCCGTGACCTTGATTTGCTCTGGTTTACTGAATCAACCACTCAAGAAGTGAGACTCTGACAAGCCTCGGCTCTTTCCCAACTTCCAACCTACGACCGCTCCTTGGGGGCCGTTATCAGAAGACAGCCCTCCCTTCTGTGGGTCAAAGCCCCTACCCAGGTAGTGGGGCAGGATCTCCTCCACAAATGGAACTGCCAGCTAAAAATATGCCTAAATATAATACACCTGAACAATACCTGTGAGGTTACTTTTACAAGTCCCTGAAAATTCTCCTACATAATTCAAATTATAGCTGATAGGAGCCTTAATATACCCGTATTACATATGACTCACCAACAGGACCCCAGGGCGCCTGGGTGGCTCAGTTGGTTAAGTCTCCGACTTTGGCTCAGGTCACGATCTCGTGGTTCATGAGTTTGAGTCCTCTCTGCTGTCAGCATAGAGCCTGCTTTGTTCGGGTCCTCTGTCTCCCTCTCGCTACCCCTCCCTCTCTCAAAAATTAATAAACATTAAAAAGATTTAAAAAACCAGGATCCCTGGGGCAAAGCTTCCACAACATCAGTAGAACAAATGGAACAGAGTCCAGGAAGAGTCCAGACTGAGTGTTCCCAGACTGCCATACGCATACATATTTTTTGGTATGAACACGCAAAAGTTAGGCCATGCTCTCAGGACGCAAGGTCAACAGCATGGCAAACATCTATGGCCAAGGCGTGTCCTCCCTGCCTCGGGGCAATGCCTTGGCTAAAGCAGTTGGAGCATCTTTAGGTCTTGTCTCAGAATCACCTTTAATCCAAGGGTACCACACGCAGTATGATCCCCACCGTGAACCGGGAGCACCCGGTATTTTTTCTGCTTGTCGTTGAACTAATTATGGTATCTGGTTCCTTTATCCTTCTCATGTTACCACTGAGCAACTCGTACCCCTTCCTGAGGAGGAAACTCATCTTTGGGTGTCTGTACTTCAGAAGCGTTCATATCCAGAACAGATCTTTTGGACATTCCAAGCCAAATCCTGACTTAATATCGTTTGTTGAAGGCACCTGTCTTAAAAAATGAAGAGATTTAAAAATTCATATGGAAATTCAAGGTAAGTTTAAGAACAGCCAGATCAATCGTGAACACCAAAAGACTAAGTTGGAAGACTCTCACGTCATGATTTAAAAACTTACTAGAAAGCTACATTAATCAAGACAGTGGGCTACAGACATAAGACAAACAGATCGATGGAAAAGACAGTCCAGAACTAGACCCACACATTTACAGCCAATCGATTTCAAGAGGATGGCAAGGTCATTCAGTGGGGAAAAAGAATGGTCTCGACAACTGGCACGGTGACATCTGGATATCCAGACACAAAAGAATGACGCTGGATCCCTATCTCACACCGTACAAAAACTAATGCGCCGTGGATCAAAGACCTAAGAGCTACAATGCTAAAGCTTTTTAGAAGAAAACAGGTGTAAATCTTTGGGATTTACGAAGATTGGATTATGCAGTGGTTTCTTAAAAATGACATCCAAATCACGAGTGGCCAAAGGAAACAAATAGGTAGATTGGACTTTATGAAAATTGTGCTTTATGAGCCTTTGTGCTTCAAAAGACACCACCAAGAGAATGAAAAGACAATTCACAGAATGGGGAAAATCCCTCGCTAATCCTATATCTGGTGAGAATATATGTAGATTATATGTAGATCTCTTATAACCGAATAATAAAGACAAACAGCACAGTTACAAAATGGGCAAGAGATCTGAATAGACATTTCTTGAAAGAAGATCTACAAACAGCCAACAAGCACATGAAAAGGTGCTCGACACCATTAGCCGTCAGGGAAATCCAAACCACAATGAGAAAGCGTTTCGCCCCCACGGGGATGGCTATAATCAAAAAGTCAGAAAGTAACAAGTGTGGGTGAGGATGTGGAGAAACTGGAACCTTACCCACTGCTGGTGGGTGTCAAATGGTGAAGCTTCTTTGGAAAACAGGCTGGCAGTCCCTCAAAAGTTAAACCCAGCGTTACCGCACGACCCAGCCATTCTCCCCCTTAGGCATATACACAAGGAAAGTGAAAACATATGGTCACACAGAAATGTGCACATGACTATTTACAGCAGTATTGTTCATAACGGCCCCAAACTGGAACTAGCCCGAATGCCCATCAACAGATGAATGCATAAATAAAATGTGGTATAACCATACAATGGACTATAACCGGGCAATAAAAAGGAACAATGGGTGAACCTTGAAAACATGAGGCTAAATGAAATGACAAGTCACAAGTCGCAAGAGGCCACATGGCACACGATTCCACTTATCAACTGTCCAGAATTGGTGAATCCACAGAGACAAAAGTAGACGGTGGTTGCCTACGGCTGGGGGTTGACTGCTATGGGCACAGGGTTTCCTTTCGGGACAGTGATGAAGACGTTCTAAAATGGCCTGTGGCTGCACAGCCCTGTGATTCTCCTAAACACCACTGAGCTGTGTGCTAAATGGGGGAATTGGATGGCATGGGAATGATATCTCAATAAAGCTGTCGATAAAAACAAAAAGCGAAAGGAAGAGAGACAATACTAAGGCCGGATACACAAGAACGGTCCGGGCTGGAATCAAGCCCTAAGGGACTCACGCTGGCTCTGGTGGCCAAGCCTGTGGCCCGCTCTAGGGCCTGCGGAATTGTTACCGATAAAGGGTGGATAGGTAAACGGATAGCTATGGCGTTCGACTTAGCAGTGCTTTGGAAAGAGAGGTTTCCTGCCCGTAACTGAAACGCGGAGGCCCACAGTACGAGGGATGAAAGTCAGAGGAAATGCTTCCGGGATCACCACGCTGAATGGGCTGCTCTGACCGTGATCCCTAGGCCAGGACTTCTGACAGTGCAGAGAGGCGCATCCGTGGAGAAGCGCGGGGATTCCAGCACAGGCACACGACGTTTGCCCGCCTGCCTGCTCTGAAAAGGGGCCAAGCGGGACAGTGGTGTGGCAAGCTCCCTGAGGGTACCATCTGGCGAGCCAGGACGGCCCCCTGGAACCACCAGACGGCCTCATATGGACATGTGCTAACGCTTTCTTCAAGATAGCTCGTCTCAGTAGGGATAAACCAACCGGCTGTGGTGGCAGACGACGTGGTGAGAAACTCTCCCAGGACAGCGCAGGACTGGAACCAAACCCTCGGGGACCCCTTGGGCATCCCCAAGTGGATTTTATGGGTTATACATGTGCGCTCATAATAACCACGTTTCCTTTCTGAGTGAACCAAAGCAGTTGCTTGTTGGAAAAAGCCCCAGCACTCGTAGGAGCTAAAATATACTAGACCTTGTGTTCCTTATTTGGGACATTCCGACTCATTTATTTAGAAATATGCAGACACCTTTTTACTGGGAGGGTTACTCGTAAATCACTCGGAAGCTTCACTGTCTTTTTACCCCGTATCTTTGCGGGAAAACAGAGGTGGATTTTTCAGAACTTACTACAAAGTTCACAATTGACAGCTCTTGACCCGGGTGGGGTTCCTGAGAAGCTCCAGAAGCTGGTTGCACACAAACCAGCGACACCCCAAGATGCTCAGGACAGGTAGCTGCGGTTACGAAGCTCTCGCCTAAGACCACTGGGATGAATTCTCCCTGATGCTTGCAACCACTGTTTTCCACACGCTCCGTTACACGCCTTTGGGCTTCGTTCTTTGGGTCACGCTTTCCCACCTGATGCATTTAAGGTTGTACACTTTTGATTTACCCTATCACGCTTCCTTTGCCAATGATAACTGGCCTGGCTCCTGGCCTTGCTACTGACAGCCACCATCGTAATTCTTGAGATCAGTCCTCCCAAACTATAGCTGGGGAAATGGATACCGAAAAGCAAGATAAAGTGAGTTACGCATGCCTTGTTAATTACGCCCCTCTTTGTAGACCATACAGAGAAGAGAAGGACGACGCCCTTGTGCTGGGAGAGGTGGATTCTGCTATCCGGCAACATAACCGACTGGCTATCACAACCCAACACCCACAGACAGTATCCCTACAGCCCCCCGGAGGTGGAGCCCATCTCTTGTATGGGATCTGGCTCGTCAGCGCCACCCAGGACCGCAAGCTGACTGTTCTGCAGGGCTCTCGGACTGTCCCGAGTGAGTGGCTCTCCCCACCCCTCGGTGAACGCCGCCTTCTTGCGAATCATCTGAAGCTAGAACACCCTTCCGAGAGACACCAACAGCACCTGGTGGAGCTGATCATGGAGGCCGTCGGTCCCACGCGTAGGAATCGGACAGCTCCAAGTGGTCATCGAAGACGTGCCCCTCGTGTTGGGTGACAATAACACAGTCACGGCATGGTGCGGGGGGCGGGACGAACCAGTCTGTCTTCCTGGTGCAAGCCGTCGTGGGTAACAGGAAGACCCAGGATTTTCTTTTGGCCACCGTGGGGGTGTGTCACTGCCAGCCCTTCACTCTGAGCCTGGACACGCAGCAGAGGTGCTGGGACAACCCCCACTGCGGTAATGAGGGAAAGCAACCTGAACGCCGAGGGTGGCCTCGGGGAGTTGGTGGAACCAGTTTTCTTGGTCAGCCCCGGGAACTCTTAGATCACGGGTCTGGAGGGCCTTCCGGCACCTTCCAACAAGGTTACGCTTGTTCGTGTCAGTCACCCCACATCTAGCGTCCAGAATGCTAACTGCTTCTACGTCGTCACCGTGGTCCTGGCAGATGACTTAAGGTACAGGAACGGGATAAGATCCCACGGACTGACAGTGACAGACAATCAGACCCCCGATGACCCTTTGTGGGGGGTCGGCGGCAGCGTGAGGACCTAGACAAGCCCCCGCGGCCTCTCGTGCAGCGCTGACGGAGGGCGGGGCGGCCGGAAGGGTGCTGAGAATAAAAGTGCCCCTTCCCCCTTCCCTAGGGAAAGCCTGCTGGCCCGCAGCTTTGGCGACAAGTAAATGCCAGGCCTGGCAGGACCCTAACCAGTCAGTAGACACGTCTCTGAAAGCCAGTCCATCCACGACAGCCCCAGGCTTGGAGATTCAGCCATCGGGTGGCAGATTCACTCAGCGATCAGTCTACCAAGGCTGGAGTCAACCCATTCTTCCTCAGTACGCAGCACAAGCCATGTCCCGGGTCACATACCACCCAATCCTTTGTCTCCAGCACAGCCCCTAACGGGCTCCCCCCTGCAACTCAGGACGAGACCAGCGGTCCGCTTTGCTCACCAAGACTGCCTGAACAGCACAGCATTCCTTACTTAAGCGAGCAATACATTCAGCCTTTTGGTATCAGATGCCGAGTGACGGTATCCACTCTTTAATACGTTCACTCATTCGTTCAGCAAGTATTGACCGAGCGCTTACAACTGCCAGGCTCTGTTCTAGGCGCTGGGGATTCAGCGGCGAACGAGACAGGAATATGTGCTCAGCCGCATAAAGTGTGCATACGTCTGGCGGTGGGAAGCCCAATGACAGAAAAAGCAAAGTGGGGAGGCAGGGGGGCGGGAGGGGGGCGGAGGTGCTCAGGGAAGGCCGCCCAGAGCAGACAGCTACAGGGGCGAGGAGCCTCCAGGCCAAGAGGGGAGCACGGGCACAGTCACGTCAGTCGGGGGCGGGGGTCGAGGTCACTGAGGCTGGCATGGGGCGAATGAGGGTGAGGGCCGAAGGCCACCAGGCCAGGGTGTAGAAGCCTCTGGGCCACCCTAAGAACTCTGGTTTTGCTTCCGCTTGGAGAGGGGTCCTGGAGGGCTCTGAGCAGGGAGGGACACACCCCGAGTCAGGTTTAAAAGGCTCGCTCTGACTACCCCGGGCATGTTAGAGCACCGCGGGGCAGGGATCCGAGAGCCGTTTCGGGGCGGTGGCCCCAGCACCCAGAACAGGCCTGGTGCCTAGTGGGCAATCATGTGCTCGTAAAACCAGAGAATGTGGGGGGTTGTCCAGAGTTCAGCCCAGAGCTGCCCCGTCTCCGGCGCAAGTCAGCGGAGGACACGGGAACCCCACGCTCTCTGGGAGCCCACCTCCCTTCCCGTGCCGGACGCTGTGGGGCTGGGGGCCTGGGCAGGTGGCGGGGATGCCAAGGCCCAGGTGCTCCCCTCCGGGCCCTGGTGCCGCTGCAGCCCGAGTAACCAGCCCCTCCCCTCTCCCAGCTTCCTGGGCAGGACAAGGGGGGGCCTCAAGCTGCACGCCCTGAGCCCCGGGCCTTCACCCCGGTGACCCCTTCCCCCCCCACCCCCCCCGCAGGTCCGCTTCGGTGCCTTTGACGCACCCCAAGTGTGCCCTCTTCCGCAAGCCCCGCTTCCCGTCAGCCGCATCCCAGGCGAGGTCGCCCCGTGCCGCTCGCCCCGCCCTGACAGGACCCTGCCCCTCCCGCCCAGGCCCCGGGTGGAAGGGGGGAAGCCAGCGCCCAGGCCCTCCTCGTGGGTCCCCACTCACCCACACAGTCCTTCCGGTTCCAGTGGAGCCGCCTCCCCGGGGGACAGACGCACTCGTAGCCGCCCTTGGTGTTGACGCAGCCCTGGTCGCAGCTCCCGTGGTCCACGCTGCACTCGTCCACGTCTGCAAGCGCAGGTGGGGGTGAGGGCGGGAGGCCGGCAGGGCAGGGCCGCCCAGGACGAGAGGGCCGAGGATCCCGGCCCCGACGACAGCCCGACACTGTCCTCGGATGCGGACGTGCGGCCGCACGCGTCACAGGCGGGAGCGCGCACACACGCGGACGCCGGCCCACGTCCCCCACCCGCCCCTCCCCCCGGGGACCGTAGCGATTTGCTGAACTTGAGCGGCTGTGCCCAGACTAGGGGGGAGGGCAGAGGCGGCACAAAATTAAAGTGCCAAGCAGGTCTCGTGGGGCCGGGTCGTGAAGCTTCTCTTACCAGGGTCGCTCCCTCCTGGGCCCCGGGCCCCAGTGTCAGGGAAGCCGCCTCCGAGGCCCTTCCTTCGCTGACCACCAAGGAACCAAGACCCCCCCCCCCCCCCCGGAGATGGGGACGGGCTGGGCCACACTCACACTGGGGTGCCTGGCTCTAAGCATCTGGGTGGCCGGGATTTGGGCAGCGGCAGGCCCAGGGGAGCTAGTGCCCAGGTTTTGGGGGTGTCCCTCCAAGAATCTGCAGCCCACCCCAGGAGTCACCCCTGTGCCCGATCATGTCGCTGTCTGACCCCATCCCACCCGCAGAGCCGCCCAGCAGAGGGAGTGTGGTCACAGGAAGTGAGGCCCCTAGGACCTCGGGGCCATTCTGATCTCTTCCCACCTTCACCTGCCGCCCTGTGCCTCTCCAAGTCCCATCGTCTATAGCTAAGCACATCTAGAACCTTCCCCTTCTCTGGATGCCCCCCCACCCCCCCGACTTCGCCCGAGCTCTGGAGCTCTGGTTCCCATGCCTGGAGTTGCCTCCCTATTGGTGCCCTGGATTCCTCTCTCCCAAACACGTGGCAGCTAGTGACCTCGTTGCATGGACATGGCCATGTCACACCCCTACTCAAACCCGCCAACGGTCTCTCATCGCCCTGGGGGTAAAACCCAAGTCACCTCCAGGGCTCACCAAGCCTTGCCTCCTCCCTGCCTGCATCTCCCACCACGTTCTCCTTCCCTCACGGGGCTCTACCGGCTGCTTCTTGGCCCCTCGATGCTGCCTCGGTGACTTTGCACGTGCTGATCCTTCTGGCCTGCTTCCTTCACCTTGTGCCAGACACCTCTCCTTTAGGGTCCCCCCACTGTCTCCACACGCCTCCCTTCTCTGTCGTCACCCTCTCCCGCTGGAATGAGCCATCCGTGGGATTCTCTGTGTGGCAGTCATCCCCGATCCGGACCGAGGTCCCCTGGAGTTGCCATCCGCAGGCCTGAGGCCACAGCCTGGCAGAGGCAGGCCCCCTTAGTGGACGCTTGCCGCTCCCTCCCCCATCCTCCACTCTGCTCCTGGCTGAGCCCCTCTGCCCACCAGCCCCCAGCCTTGCTTCGGTCCCCTCCCGGCCCTCCGGAGTCAAGGTCAGGGTTAGGGTGTGGGGCGCAGCGTGGGTGGCCGTGTGGCCAGGCGCGTGCCTCGGGGGGGAGGTGGCCCTGGCGGGCGGGCTGCAGACCTCCGCAGTGGGTTGTCCCGTAGAGTATGTAGCCGCGGTGACACAGGCACTGGAAGCTGCCCGGGGAGTTGATACAGATGTGGTCGCAGGTCCTCTCGAAGGAGCACTCGTCGATGTCTGTGTGGCCACAGGGAGACAAAGTCCAGGGAGGAGTTTCAGGGGGATGGGCACAGCCTGTCACTCGACGGTCACCCAGTGTATGTCTGTACACAGAGTCCCTGAGGCTCCGTGCACAGCCGATCCGCGGCGTCAGCCTTCTCGTCAAGGCCCCATTTTCTACTTTATCTCCGCCAACCTCACGCTTCCATCTGCCATCTTTTCTGGAGGTGGGCAGGGTAGAAATACTTTGACCACAAGGTATTATTACGAATGTCTGCTATTTTAACATCTCACGTTCAGTTGTGGTTGGTATTTAATCCGCATCTGCAGGGAAGTGACAGAGGCTTGCCTGAGGATACACATGAGCTGGGACATGAAGCCCGGACCTCTTGGATGCCGACCAAAGTGTGTTTTCCTATTCACTTCAAGATGTCTCTTGAGACAGTAAGAAAAGAGCCCGAACAGAAGGGGGTATGCCACTCATGAGGGATAACAAGGTAGCCTTGACACTATGTGAAATTTGATCCTGAGCTTCCTGGTGGCCAGAGTAAAAAAGGAAAAAGGGTCACAGAGTGCTTATCATCGGACAGAAAGGAAGAAATGAACCACATGCTCATAGGAGACAAGCCTGTCCTGGCCAAAAATTCTGAGGAAAATGGCCCTCGTGGGATAGCTGACGGGGCTCCTGAGGGCCAAACAGACACTGACCCACCTCTCCATGGGCACCGTTCACTCTTGGAGTACACTGAATGTGACCACACATATTGACGATATACATGTGTTTGTAATAATTCCAGCACAAGTGAGGAATCGCACTGTGGGTGCTCCAAGGAGGATATGATCCCTCCCTGCAGCAGAATCTGGGAAGATCTCCTGGTACTTGTGGCATTTGGGCTAGGCTTTGAAGGATGGGACTAACTCAGAAATTAGGAATGGAAGTGGGGGAAGGGCACTCCAAGCAGCGGCTGGGAGGGGGGAACGAGGCACCAGGGGACTATGTGGAACTCAGCGGGGTGGGGAGGGGTGTCTGAGGTCCCCATCCCAAGGGCCGGAGTGCCAGGCAAAGGAAGGCAGACTCCTCCCTGCTGGAGCTGGGGAGCCCAGGCTGGTGCTGGAGCAGGGCTGGGAAGTGGCCGGAGCCCCAGGGCCTCAGAGAGGGGGGCCTGGTAGAGGGTGGAGGGGACTGGCTGGAACCCAGAGGCAGACGCCTCATCGCCTCCTCTCGGCAGCTGCCCACCTCTCTCGTGGGACGGCTGGGGGTACAAAGTCAAGGGCTCCCCCTGAGCCCTCCACAGACCTCGACAAGGCAGATGGAGAAACTAAGTCCGAGCATAGAGGAGCCTGGACAGGTGCCGTGCTCCCAACAGGCCTCACGCCCTGACAGGAAGATAGAACCCCGAGATCCACCGAAGGATGAGGAGGCGGAGCCTGGGAGGGGACTTGCCAGGCTCAGGTCACATGATAGGCTGGCGACAAGCCAGCCCCGGCCCCTCCCTCACCAGCCTTCGTCGGTGCCCTTGGGAGAGCACAGCCCTCGCCCCTCACGGCAGCGCGCTGCCCCAGGGCCAGCCTTGAGCCCCACCAACAGGCAGGAGATACAAGCCCTACGGCCCGACTCAGCGGTGTGCAGCCTGCCACAGAGGAAAGGACTCGTCTGCAAGAGTCACTGATGATGAAACTGAGCCACGTTCCTGCCACACAGGACACCCTGGCTACTCCCCCTGTACTTTCTCCCAAAGCAGGCCCCCGGGACACCCCTGTCTTCCCAATGACCTCATACGGTTCCATGGGGCTCCTTACGGCCCCCCAAACTCTCCTTGGGTGGGTTTACCTCCCTGGCTTCTGCAGGAAAATGCCTATTCACCACTGTCCCCTCCACCAGGAAGTCTTCCCCGACTGCTCTCTCCACTGCCCATCCTCTGGGCTCTCCCTGCAGCCCGGAAGTCTCCTGGACTTGTGCTGGGCTGTGATGCTTGGCTTCTGCCCAGGCCTGTCATCACCCCACTGGCTCCTTGCAGGCACCCGGGAACCCTAAGAAAGGACTGCAGGAAAGTGTAATGTGCCCTGCCTTCCAGCAGGTGGTAGCATCTCACCTCCGAAGCCTCCGAAGGAGGCCTGGGACCACAGGGATGGAGGGTGGAGCTTCTGAGCTCTGCCTGGACTCACTGTGACCCCCCTGCCCGCCCCCCCCATCCCCGGGGGCATGTGCAGATGCCTCTCCGGGCCTCAGTTTCCCATCCATAAAGGGACAGGTTGGCCTGGGTGGCTTCTGAGGGTCCCCAGAGTCCTGAAGGACAGAGAAGGCGGGGGCGGGGGGGCAGGTGCACATGCTGGGAATGGGAAATCCACAGCTGCTCTCTCACAACAGCAGGGCTGATGAACCTGGCCCTGGGCCTCTGCTCCTAGGAGCCTACATAAGCCCGAGGTGGGCGGGACAAGGACGGGGTGTCCCGGGGCGCACGGGAGGCTCACCTTGGCACGTCCGCTCATCGGTCAGCAGCTTGTAGCCCTTCCGGCAGCCACACTCGAAGCTGCCCACGGTGTTGCGGCAGAAGTGGTCACAGCCTCCGTTGTTGGCCAGGCACTCGTTGATGTCTGCGGGGACCAAGCAGGCGGGGCAAGGCAAGTGGGCTTGGCCACCAGGTGGGGGGACGGTTCGTCTCCGCTCCTGACTGCCGATGGCCCCCCCATCTGAGCACGGCGAGCGAGGGGCCTGGCTCACAGCAGTGGGGGTCAGGAGGATGAGTCATCCCACCTCCCCCAGACTGGGCATTCGTGGCATAGAAGGGAGAGGAGTGACGTGTGCTGTGCCCGGCAAGATGACAGGGACAATGACATCCACCGCGTCCTTCCACGTGCACATTTGGGGCGTCAGTGCGGCCTGGAGCAGGCTGGCTGCTTCCCGATGGCCGTGACCTTGGGCGAGCTACTGCCCCTGGAGCCTTGGCTCCCCGGCTGTAAGACAAGGGTCAGAAGCACACCTTGGAAGGACACCATGAGGATTAAATGACAGTCCTGGGGGCTGGGGGCTGGTGCTTAGGGAGGGCTCAGTCAACAATTTGTAGCTTTAACGCCCCTGCTTTACTGATGGGAAACGGAGGGTTAGAAAGGTAACTGTGTTCAACGGGGGGGGGGGGGTGCTAACGTCCCCGGTTCTTGCCTGTTGGTCTAAGTGGATTCTTCACTCATCATTTAACCAGCTGTGGCTGTACCCTAAAGGTCACCGGGCCCAACCCCGTGCAATAAAGGGCCCTTCCCAAACATCCCTGCCAGTTGGCCTCTGCTTGCATACCTCTGGTGATGGAGGGCTTTCTCCTTCACAGCATGCCTGTTGGCTGATGCATCACCAGCGTCTCCCTGACTCCTGTGAGTTCCCTCCTGCCTCCCCTGCCCTGCTTCTCTGGGTTTTGCTCTCTGGACTCCAGGCCAGCCCGGCAGACTGTGTCATCAGAGACCTCGTCCCTGAGGTCTCTTCTTGGTCCAAAGTTCCTCTTGGGCCCTGACCCCAAGGCTCCCCATGCTGACATGACCCAGCAAGCAGTAACAGATGATTTTCAGAATGGTGTTTTCACCCTGGATTGCAGGGGTGAAAGGAAGTGATGGAAAACAGAAAGGACTTCTCTGTGTTGGCCAAAGGCCACATCTCTGCAGAGTGGCTGACTCAGACTCCGGCTATCGCTGAGCCTGTCCTGAACGTGAGGGCCCAGGTGCCCCTGTCCCATGAGCAAGGTCCATCTGGCCCCTTTGTGCCGAGCTCCATGGAGGAGACTCCGTCCCATCTCAGCGGCTCCAAATCTCAGATGGAGCCTCACTTCTTCTTCCTCAAACCAAACAAGCTGGACCTGACACGTGCAGAAAGTCCTACAGCAGTGCTCCCGCAGAGTGCTCTCCAACAAGATAAAACCCAAGTGTGGCCCAGGACACTAGGAGAAGGGGGCTTTTATAGACAGCAAGGCTGAGGGGCCAGGCCTGGGGCGGGGCGGGGCGCGGGGGGGGGGGTGCTCAGTCGGTTAGGCGTCTGACTCTTGATTTCGGCTCAGGTCACGATGGCACGATTTGTGGGATGGAGCCCCACGATGGGGCTCCGAGCTGATAGCACAGCACCCGCTTGAGATTCTCTCTCCCTCTCTCTCTGCCCCTCCCCTGCTCTCATGTGCTCACACACATACTCTCTCTCTCAAAATAAATAACCTTAAAAAAAAAAAAAAAAAGACGGCAAGGCTGCAACCCTCCCACCCCCGGCAGGCAGTTCTCAGAGCTTCTGGGAGGAGACTGGCACAACACGGGGGCCCGGCGAGCCTGGCAGGGGCGGACCCCAGAGCTGCTTTTCTGGGGAGCCCCCGTGGGAACCGCCTCTGAGGAGCGCAGGACACCCAGTGGGCGTGGCCCTGCATCTCCTTGCCCTTGGTTGCCCCCCTCCCCATGCACCCCCACCCCAAAGACCCATTCTGTTTGCAAAATCTGGTGACTCTGGCATAGGGAGGAGGCAGAGCAGGGGAACCAGAGGTGGTCCCCACTAAGTGAGGCCTGCGGTTCGGCCTGCCTGGCCCTGGCTCCTGCTGTGCCACCTCCTGGGTGACTTCACCCCTCTAAATACAGTAGGTGCTGTATATGTGCGCAGCGAGATGATCGCTCACAACAATCTCAGCTCCGGACAGCTCTGTACACGCCCATGTTCCAGGAACAAAAATGCCCAAGGGTAAGGCTGCCCAGATGCCACGGTAGGTAGTCGGACCCTCTGGGGGGGTCCCTGCACCTACTGGGTACAACCTCATGCTGGTGACCGGGCCAAGCGCTTTGTGGCAAGGCCTTGTGTGATCGTCAAAACGACCGGGGGACCAGATCCCCTGTTTTACGGGGGGGTGGGGTGGGTCACAGCTACACGCAAGAGCCAGCTTGGAGCCCAGCTCCAGCTGTCTCCAAAGATGAGCCTTCTCCAGCGTACCCTGCTGGCCCTGCGGCCTCCAGAGAAAGCAGACATCAAGCCCAGTTGAGGGCCTGTCCAGGGCAGAGGCTTGGACATCCCTCTTGTCCTCTACCCCTGGGGATTATAGGAAGATGGGGAAATTTCTTCAAAACATTTTTTTAATGTTTATTTATTTTCGAGAGAGAGTCAGACTGTGAGCAGGGGAGGGGCAGAGGGAGAGGGAGACAGAATCCGAAGCAGGCTGCAGGCTCTGAGCAAGCCGTCAGCACAGAGCCCGATGCGGGGCTCGAACCCACAGACTGTGAGATCGTGACCTGAGCCGAAGTCGATGCTTAACCGACTGAGCCACCCAGGCACCCAGGAAGATGGCGGGAGAGTGGAGGCCCGTCTCGGCTCTGACCCAGGGAGCTGTGTGATCCTGGGCAGGGAAAGACACTTCTCTGAGCCTCAGGTCCCCCATCTGTGAACTGGGCTGCCAACAGGCGCCTCTCACAGACTGAATCCGCAGACGGGGTCTGCCTCTTCAGGAATGCCTCGGGGCTTCTGGAATCCCCAGCCCCATCCCTATCCCCATCTGGGCCTGTCGGCTGAGGGGCTGTCACAGCAACCAGACAGGCCGTGGGAGGCATGCTTGCTTGAGGCCAGGCTGGTGGAGAGGCTGCCTGGGGGTCCGAGTGGGAGAAGTGCCTCCGGCTCTAGCCCGAGATGCAGTCACGCAGAGGCCCTGGACCTTCATTCTGACGGGCCTCCGCCCCTCTAAGGCTCCTCTGCCTCTTCACCCTGCCCCCACCTCCACCAGGCAGCCAGCAGTCTGTACCTGTTTACAAGTCTTCTGTGGCCCCGGGTCATCCCAGGACGAAGGCCCAGCCCTGTTTGCAGGCCCTCCCCCTGGCCTCCTCGGCCCGGATGCTCTGCCTTCCTCTTTCTGTGTACTTGACTTCTGCCTTGGTGGCCCAGACTCCGGCTGCCTCACTCGGGGCAGCCCCCACCGCAGCTTGGGAACCACCACCTCTCTAGGAAGACTTCGCTGACGTTCCCTTCATCAGTGTGGGCTGTCCCCTTGTCATGGGACCTGGCCTCGGCGGGGGGCGGCGAGAGGGCCCTGAGGACACAGATGGGGAATCTGGCTCCCGTCTGGAGCCCCAGGGCCCAGCAAGAGGCTGCACAGAGTGTATTCGCTGATGAATGACGAATGAATGAGTTACGGTGGCTAAGAACAGGGCTCTTGAGGGCCTTGGGCCATCAAGTATAACTTTCAGCCGTATCAGCAATGTTCAAGCATCAGTGGGAGGGGGCACAGCCTGGAAACCCAGGGGCCATGTGGGGGGCTTTTGGGTGGGAGTGGGCTGGTGTCACCCTAGAGCAGCCTCGTGGGGAGGGCAAGCCGCTGGGCTGGGCTCGCTGGGCAGAGTGAGGGAGAAGAGGAAACGGGTGGTGGGTGGGCATTCTTCGGGCTGTTCTGGAAGGTGTTGGGAGGAGGGCCTGGTGTCTCTGAGGAAATCCGGGCTCCAGCACAGGGAGTTGAGGCTCCAGACCTCCCTCCTCTCAGAAGAGCCCATTAGCAAGGTGCCCCCCTTCCCAATATCAAACAGGTGCAGCACCAAACAGGGGGCCTTGAGATTGGACCCCTGCCGTGCCCACACTGTTGAAAACAAAGCTGGGGGCAAATCCTTCAGAGAACTCCACAGCTCTCACGTTTCAGGCAGGACCCCCTCCCCTCTCCTCTTCTATGCCGGTCTCCACATGCCCGTGTGACCCCTGTGTGCTCAGGGCTTTCGGCTCTGGATTTTCCAAGACCTCTGTTACCTTTACCCTCTAGTCACAGGTCTTGCTTCACCATGGCTTTTGGCTTCCAGAACATACTAAACCTTTGAAATCACTCCTTTGATATCCCCTTCTGGGCCCGGGCCAACGTCAGGGCGTGCACGCCCACCGAGGAGCCAAAGCCCCGGGGCCGGGGATTCCCAGCCGGCCGGTCCTGCCAGGTGCCCGCGCCCTGACCTGCACCTCGCCGGCGGCCCCGGAGAACTCGGGCCGTGAGCACGAGGCTCTGGGACCCCAAATCCTGGGGTCTGGAGGTCAGCGTTTGTTCCCCAGTGTTCCCTGAGTTGAAGACGTCATGATGCTCATCACATCGGGCAGTTCTAGACCCATGCCAGTCCCGAAATGCCAACTTGTACGACAACATCCGGACTGCTCTGCCTCCGCCTGGTCCAAGCCGGGTCGTCTCCAGCCTGGGTGACGACAGCGGCTGCCTCACTGGTCCTCCAGACCCCGCTCAGAGCCCCATCCAAGCGGTGGTCAGGGACCGGCTCAAAACGCAACCCCGGGCCCGTGCTGCCCTGTTCGGTGGCGTCTGGGGGGTCGCCGAGGCTCAAGGGATACAGGGCGGAGCCCTCCCCGGCACACAGGCCCCGCGGCATCTGGCCTGGCCTCCCCCGCATCTCACAGACCGGGGCGCACAAGATGTCTTTGGGGCCTTAAAGCCCTTGGCCTCTGCACGGCCGCCCCTGTGCTGCTGGAAACGCGGCCTGGTAGCGCCTCTCCCTGCGCCCTCCCCGCCCGGGTGCGGGGCAGGCTCCGGTCCTCAGTCTTCTGCCGGGCGGTACGCCATCCAGCACCCAGCGGTCTGTAATACACGTTCATCTCGGTGATTTTAAAAGCTGAAAAGCTGTCTTTTGCATTCGATAGAACGGGAGGCGGAGCGGCCTGACTTTACCCTCTTCGGCCCCAGCTCAAAGGGCACCGGGCCAGGCCTGCCGTGGCGCCGCTGGCTGTGAGGACGGCCGGGACTGCGGGGAGCCCTGGCCGGTCCCCCCTACCTCGAGTCCACATGTCACAAGCGGGCACCGAGCGGGCAGAGCGGGGGCTGCGGAAGGGCTTTCTTTTCAAACAAACAGGTGGAAGGACCTCTGCTTCTGTCAATAACCCCTCGGTTCTTCCCTGCAAGGCAGCTCAGAAGGAGTCAGATGCTGTCTAGTTTTACAGGCTTAAGAGAAAAGCCCAGCTCGGACTATTCAAAATCGCCAGAGACCTCTGCTGTCCGTGTTGTCACCCACTGGGCTTTGGAAGTTCACACTCCTCTGCCCTTCCGCTGCCTTCCAGCCAGGCCTGCTTCCTGGCAAGGCGGGGAGGCAGGTGGCCAGCGCTCCCAGGGATCCGAAGGGTCAGCTTGGGGCCTTGTGAGCGGCGCTGAGGGGAGCTCTCCCTCCCCTGCAGGGGGCTCTGGTGCCTGGGGCTCCTTTGCGAGAGCTGCAGGGAGGCCCCTTCAGTCTCTGGACCTGCCAGCTCTCGCTTCTTGTGTCCTGACGGACCCCTAACACCACGAGCACCTCCGGGGGCACTCAGAACCCTGTGGGTTGAATCAGGGAGCGAGAGGGGGAAGAGCCGAGCAAGCTCCACCTGCTGTCATGTCCAGCGGCCGGGAGAGCGGTCCATTCCCGCAAGACTCTCATCCTCCCGGAACCTCATCTCTAACTGCAAACGGAGGTCCTTCTGCACCCCTAGTCCCGAGAGCCCCCACAGTTTCACTCCTCCAGCCACAAGAACACGCAGCGTTCTCTTTTTTCCAACGGTGACAAGAAGACAATCCCGTCTCTGTACAAGGAGACCTGTCCTCCCCAAACCTCCCCGGGTCGTGCCGATGCCCCAGCTCTGCCAGGTGCTCCCGCGAAGGGGAGGGGAAGGGACGGCCACAGCTCCCACCCCGGGTGTGTGTCTGTTGGGGGGACCACGATGTATCACTGTGGGCCTAGGAGGCCCCGCAGTGAAGACGCTGCTCGCCCAGCACAGCACAGCGCACAGCCGGTCTCTCGGATCGCAGAGCGCCGCTGTTTTGCTCAGGACCCTACCGATGCAGCGTTCTCTTGAACCCTGCTGGGGGGCACTGGTACCGACCCCCCCCCCTTCTCGGCCTCTCCAGCAGAAGCCTCGGGGACCGCCGACCCCTGCCCTTGCAGTCACTCGTGGCCACACACCGGACCCGAGCGCGCGGCCCCGTCCCTGCCTGAGTGGCGAGCGCAGGGGGGTACCCGTGCCGCCGTGGCTTTGTGCTGACCTTTGCACGTCTTCCCATCCGGTTGCAGCGTGAATCCCACCGGGCAGCTGCATCGCACGCCAGTGGCTGTGTCCCTGCAGGTCCGGTCACAGCCTCCGTTGTTTACTGCACACGTCTCTGGGAGAGGGGAAAAGAGACAGAGGTGCTCAGTCTCCTGGGACGGAAGCCACCATCGCCTTTCTCCATTCATGGGGGGGGGGGAACCTCCTGAGAGAGGAGACCTGAATTTGAGTTCTGGCTGATGCCCTCTAGCTGTGGGCTTCCCTGAGCCTTGGGCTCCCCATCTGTAAAATGGGAGAATGACACCGTTTCCGTGGGATTGCTGGTGAGGACCCACTTCGATGATGATGGATGGGAAACCGTCTACACACGACAGAGGGCTGTGCTTGTGTAAAGGTCTCCCCCCAACCCCACAACAGGATCAACACTGCCACGTGGAGCCATTGCTGAGATCAGCTTGGCTGGTACTTAACTGCCCAGCGCCGGATTCCTAAACCCTTGTCCTGCCTGGACTCAGACTCCAAACCCGGGGACTGGCAGTCCCTGGGGCTCTGGAACAGGTCTCAGCGTGGACTGGCTTGTGACCCTGGCCGTGGGGTTCCCAGGGGGTGGTTCCCCGAGCCTGCACACCATCCATCACCTTCATGAGGCACTCAGCTCAACATCTGTTCTCATTGAGCCATAAGCCAAAGGCATCTGGTTTTTGTCCACTTGAAACTTGTCTAGTGCTTTTTTTTTTTTTTTTTTTTTTTTTCCTTCCTTTGCAAATTCAAAGGGCCTGGAGTGGCTGGGGCAGAGCCCCAGGTCATCCAACCCGTTGTGTGGTGAGAGTGATCCTCCCCAGGCCCGGAGAAGGGGCTGGCAGAGCTGGGTCACCAGGGTGCAGGTGGCCCGCACACGGAGGGGACCGTTCCTAAGGCCTCTGAGCTCTTTCTGAGCATCTGTGTGCTTTGATCTTGTGGGAACCGTGCCTGAGTGGACTTCCCCTCTTCCCTTCCACGTTGGGAACTGAGGAGCCGAGGGCCCCATCTTTTATAACCCGAACCCCCCCTGCCTGTCTACCTTGGCTTCCTCCGCGCACCTGGCCCTGGGGGCTTTTTTCCCCTGAAGCCTCCCCCTAACTGGTTTATTCCGTCTGTCCTTCTGTGGTGTCTGCATTCCTGCGGGAGTGATGACTGAATACATACCCCGACAGCCAGGAGTCCCTGCTGCTGATTATACCAAACTCTGATGCCTTCCCTTTGAACTTCAACTCTGTGTGTGGGGGTGGGCAGGGCAGTGAGAGGCGGACATCCGGCTTTCCCTTCCGTGTGAGTGTGCAGATTCTGCGGGGGCTGTGGCGGGCCTTGTCCGGAATGTCCCGGACACAGGGGCCACCGGTGGCAGGGGACCACCGGCCCTTCTTCTCAAGGCTAATGCCTTCCCCGTGATGGGAGGAGCTGTGACTACTACTGAAAGGCAAGCGTCCCGGCCCCCGACTCCTCCTGGTCTGTCTTTCCGAGGGTCTCCACAAACCCCAGCCCCGAAGCTTGGTGTGCCGGCCCAGGGGCTCAGAGGCCTCCGGCCTGCTCAGGTCCCAAGGCCCAGCTCAAAGACCACCTCCACGCAGAGCCTCCCCAGCCTCAGGCACAGAAAGGCCCCCCACCCTTCCCTGCACCAGGCTGGCCTCCGTCAGCACCAGCCACGCTCTGACCCGCACGTGGCCTGCTCTTAACCCGACTGTTAACTGGGGCAGTGGAGGTGCGCGGGCCAGGGTGTCACTCACCGAGTGACCGAAGAAGGCTACCCCTCGGGTTGGTCCTCGGCACCCTCGCCCGGCAAGCCTTCCCTCCCGAGAGAGCTGTGGTGAAGTTCAGACAAACTCCCCACTTCACAGCCACTGGTCTGGGTCCCCGCGGTGGGGGGAGCTGCTTAACAAGCGTCAGTTTCCCCTCCTGGGGTTCTAACCAGAGAGGCCTCCCAGCCCCAAATCAAAGCGCAACCCTCAGGTGCCTTTTCGGCCTTTCATGTGGGACAGCCCTCTCTAGAGCGGGGCTGGAGGACCTGTCTGCTCTCCAGGTGCAGGTAATTAAGGCCCAGGCCTTGGAGAGCCGGTGGGGGGCGGGGGTGGGGCACAGCCGGGACCTCACTCGTGACCGTGATGGCGCCTGGGGCTCCCTGTGGCAGTGGAGGTGGGGTGAGGTGGGGGCACTGGGGGCTGTGTCCCTGAGAAATGGACCTGACCAGGCAGGCTCCCGTGGGCCCTCCCCACCTCCGGAGGCCCCGATGGGGCTCGGAATCTTGGCCTTCCAGAGCGCTGGGGCCTTGGGACCCACTGGGCGGGCAGAGGCCGGGAGGAGGCTGGGGTCAGCTTGGAGGGTCACCCACTCTCTGGCCTCTCCCCTGCTCTGGGTACACTTTTAATCTCTTATGTTGCTCTAGATGAGGTGTGGTGTCTAGACTCAGGTCCTGAGCAAGGAGCTCTGGGCCCCCAAGAAAGGCCCTCAGGGGCTATCCTGGGTCCAGACCTCCTTATCCCATAGCACCTGGTTATGGCGGGTCACCTGCTCCGGACCCAACTCAGCCTTCCAAGCCTCGTGTGCCCCGGGCTCTTAGCAGCAAGGTAAGGCTCTCCTGCCCCCTCCACCTCCCTGGAGAGGAATCTGCCCGGGGCTGTGTGGCCGGTGAGTGGCCCAGCTGCTGGGCCCTGCTGGGTCTGACTCCAACCCACCTGACGGCCTGAAACCTCCAGCCCTGGCCCAGGACCCCACACAGCCGAGCAGGTACTATACTTTCCACATCCCTCCTGTTCCAGTGTTCTCTGCATCCTACCCCCACCCATCTGCCCCCTCGCCTGGGGCCCCCAGGCCTGGTCTTGCCACTTCTTTAACATCTGATTCCAGCCCCTGCCCTGACTGCTGCCATTCTGGGCCAGGCCACCAGTGTCTTCCTTTGTGACAATTACGGCCTCGCAAGGGTCCCTCTCCTCCAGACCTCTGCCTTACTCTGGGAAGGACCCCGTGAGCCCTCCAGTCTCTCCCGGAACCCGCCTCTCCAAGACAGCTACTGGGTCTTTCCCAAGGCCTCTCCTCTCCCCCTGGAGAGACGAGGAGAGACCCTCCCGGGGCACAGCCCTCTACAGCCAACGGAGGATCTTCTCCTCCGTTAACATCTGCCGGCCTCACAGCAGCCCCAGAGGCTGGCCTCTTTTGCAGGAAGAGAAACTGAGGCTCCAGGAAGTTAAATAGCTTGTCCAGGCAGAGGGAACCTCACATTATGAGACCCAGGGCAAAATTAAAATGAAGGGCCCTTGTTCAAAAATTAAACATTTCAAGACAGACAACAGAGCACTCAACCAATGGGGGGGAGGCCCTTCCGAAGGCAGGGCCTGGGGCAAGCCCCCTCACTCCTGGAGCTCAGGCTTCCTGACGTGCAAAGTGGAGGTGATGGTGTTGACCATGGAGTTCGTACGGGGCCCGGACAGATGTGGATGTCATGGTGCTTTGTGAGCACAAAGCGTTTCTTGGGGGCCCAGAGCGGGTCGACCACACGCTCACTCTCAGCGCCACCTCTTACGACCTCCCGTGAGGGGTCTTAGCACCCAGTCGGTTGCTGACTCGGCTGACAACTATTTCCTGAGCTCCTGCTCTGTGTGGGGCACATGTGCCTCAGACAGTCCCTGGTCTTGTGGAGGCCTCAGCCTAGGGGGGCGGCAGATGGGCTCACTGCTCTGACCACCGGTTTGGGAAGGGCTCCTTGGCACGAGGTGGCTGAGGACCGAGGGAGAGGAGCTTGAGAGGAGTCTGACGGCAACCAGGCCTCAGGGGTTAACGGTTTATCGGGGGAGACAGACTCCTGCTCTTCTCACAGGAGTCCGGGCCCACCGCCGCCCCCCACCCCATCAGGCCTCAGCCCTTGGCCCCGGCTCGCGTGCCCCTCACGACCCAGGAGGCCCCTCCAAGCTCTCCTGAGCCCTGCTGGCTCTCCCAGGCCCTGGCCTCGGTTTGGGTGGCGGTCTCCCCCAGGGACCGCTCGCTCCCCAGGCAGGGCTGTGTCAGGGTGACCCCAAGCCCGGTGCGGGACTGATTTCTGCCGAATGACCAGAGGAAAGAACAAGCCTCTGGAGGAATGGGATGAAGCGGAGAGACCGAGCCCCGGCCCCATGCTGGGCCTGGCAGGGGGAGGGCACCTGAGATGAGCCTGACGGCGGGGGAGGACCCGAGTCCAGCGGCACCAGCCTGCGTCATGGGCCCTGGGCGAGGCGGGCGCCCACGTGGGCTGACTGCAGGGGGAGTGGCTTCACCTGGCTCAGAAGGCAGGGGGGCGTCTCAGGCCAAGGGGGGCATCACCGAACAGCGCTGGGCACTGTAGCACAGGGTGGGGCCGAGGTGGCGTGCCCTGATGAGAACTGGACGTGAGTCCAGAGGCCCGAATGCCACGCTTAGTTCCCGATGCACCGTGGGACGTTAGGCCACGGATGCTCCCGTCTCGGGGCTTCTCCCCTGTGGTGGGCCTGGAATCACAGGCTCGTCTACAGTGCAGGTGTCAGGCCCCACCCCGGAGGCTCCGATCTGGTGGCCCAGTGACCCACGGAGACCCTGTCAGCCCAGGGTCTGTCCCTTTAAGGCCCTTACCCTGGTGGCGGGAGCACCTGTCTAGTCAGGGCTGGTCCCCCTGCTCGTTTGCCACTAAGGTCAACTGAAGCCAGCTGGGAAGAGGGGCTAGCCACTGGCTCTCCCAGCCCAGCTGTGGACTGTCTGGCCTTTGATCTCTCTTCCCTCAGCTGATTCCTGAGCCTTCCATGGCTCCCGTCACTTTGGGATAAGAGAACTCTTAAACACTGGCCCGGCTCTCCTTCACTGCCCGTGTCTTCGAGCAGACTACTGACCTCCAGGCGGGCCCGTGGCCCGTTGTGGGCATCGTCAGCAGGCCGATGTCCCTCACTATGCTGGCACAGTGAGGTTGGTCACCTTCGTGAAGTCCCTCGGGCAAGTGAGAAGAGTCAGGCCTCAGGCCGACAGCAGAAGCCGCTTCCCCAGCCCCTCGGCAGGGACCGGGGGGGGGGGGGTGTAGGGGACGTCCCTGTCTGCCGCCTGCCGCCCCTGCTCCTTACCACACTGCCTCCTCACCTCTGCTCG